TGTCATGGGTTCCTGTCCTGGCCGGGGAGGATTTACTGGGCGCAAATCTTTAACTGTAGCCTCTGTTTAACTCAACAGTAAAATGAGTACTTGGTTGTAACAACGATTCTTCGCGGCGGGGATCGTATTTCAGGGACCTGCCCGAAACGCTACGCGTACTAGTGGCTGTACAAGAATGTAACAACTCTTGTATATATCTAAAAAAAAAAAACAATTATTTATTTCAAGGCCTCATCTTTCCCCTTTAAGATCCGGCGCTTATACTCACCTGGTCCTGGAAGATGAGGGAGTGGTCACAGTGCCTCGTGAGTGTTGGTGAATGAGAAGAGTAAGGTTACCTCTCCTCTCTCTTGTAGACTAAATGTGACAGATAATTACCTTGGATGAATACTGTTAACAGATAAATACTATTTCCAGAAACTCTTGAAGGAAACACTTATATACATTTAGCCTGTGATCATTAAGAAAATGTGTTGTATTCTGTATATTTGTTGCACGTACGTAATTATTAAAATAATTCATTTGGTAGCTATTTTAAACTTGGTTTACATAGGCTTCTCATAGGAGCCGAACCTGTATTGCTTTGTTTATAATGTTTCTCCAAATTCTATCGGTCTGTTCTTATTTTTTTTATTAAACAACGCGCGGGGGTATTTATGAATTTTATAATATATTAACTTGTCTGAATGTTGATTTCCTCGTCTGAATGCTATTTAAATTATATACATTTAAATGTAATGCTATCTATATATTGATTTTAGTTTCGGTTCAAACAAATTACAGAATATTTTATAAAAAACGAGACAATTAAACAAGAAGTTGTACTCACCTAGTTGTGCTTGCGGAGGTTGAGCTCTGGCTCTTTGGTCCTGCTTCTCAACCGTCAATCAACTGGTGTACAGATTCCTGAGCCTATTAGGATTTGTTTATAACGCGGTGATGACGTAGATGGGTACATACTTTTCTCAGGTCTTAGACCCTACTCCGAGGGATCGGAAGAACACATCCTAGCCAAGCGAGAAACGGAAGCAATAACAGGTTGGGAAACAAAAAAAGGAATCGACAGGAGGCGTCGTCATGATGGGGCTCAGAGGACACTCGATCGAGATGCTGCACCACCCAGGAAGCGGAGATGATTCAACCCTCCATTACTACAGTCATCTACACGTAACTCCACACTCAACCCTCCATCACTACAGTCATCTACACGTAACTCCACACTCAACTCTTCATCACTACAGTCATCTACACGTAACTCCACACTCAACTCTTCATCACTACAGTCATCTACACGTAACTCCACACTCAACTCTCCATCACTACAGTCATCTACACGTAACTCCACACTCAACCCGAGACTTAATATGATTCATAACATTATGCAATAACCACAGGGCTGTTGAATTATGGGACCAATTACCGGGTAACATAATTGATGTGCGAGTGTTGGATTGTGTCAAGCGTAGGTTAGACATATGTATAAATAAGTTTGGGTGGATATAAATAAGCTGCTTCGTATGGACCAGTTGTGTCAAGCGTTTTTTATATATATATATATATATATATATATATATATATATATATATATATATATATATATATATATATATATATATATATATATATATATATATATATATATATATATATATATATATAACACACGCTAACTGAGGCCTCTTATAGTAAATATATGCGCTATACTAGGCTTAGAATTATTTAAGTTTGGTTTTTAGCATTATTTTTCCGGACTCAATAAATGTGACTGCCAGGCTGCCACTGGTACAAATACTTAGTTCCTTCGTTTGTAAAACATCGCTTATTGGTACAAATATTTAGTTCCTCGTGTAAAACATTGCATGTTAACATAAATATTTAGTTCCTTCGCTTGTACAACAGCGCTTACTAAGCCGCCAGTCAAGAAATGTATACAATTACATTGCAGTCAATTTCGCAATCTTATATATCAGGAAGTAGACTGAAACCATCAGTTGACTTACTGTGTTTGAACAACATTCTCCAGACCTTGATGAGATCTCGTCAGGTTAACTGCCGGCAACTTGTCACCATTGAATGCTTGCAAGTGAAGGACTGATTTCCTTAAAATCATAAGAATTAAGGAAACTGCAAAAAGCCTATTGGCGTATGCGCGGAAACTCCTATTATAACAACCTGTCCTCATTAATCATCGCGCCTTGGTGTCAAAATCACCTACGGACAAAATATGGTGTCATAAATCATAACGGCTCGTAAACAAACCACTTTTCAATGCGTGGCTCTATCGGTTAGGTTAGGGTCGGGCAATTTAGCACATCATTTTCTGTCCGTTGTGACAACTCGAAAGGACGGACTGATTTATATACTCTCAACCTCGTATATAAGGTCTATCCTACGCTTGAAACAATCCAGTAATCGCACGTCTATTATTTATCCGGTAATCTATTCCATAAATCAATAACTGTTTCCATGCCAATATTTACCCAGATCTTTCCAAAACCCAAAATTATTATCCGATTTATTTTGAGTTAATATATTTAACAAAAGGGCCTTTGCTATGCCTTTCATCCATTTATAAACTTAATTCGTATCACCCTTCTTACTCTCTTTCTAGATAATGTTAATTTAGGTTGTCTTCTGTCTCGTATTTTGTACGAGAGAAACCGTAGCTGATGAACTTTTATGTTTACAATTGTAAGACTAACTGATGACAAAAAAATATATTTTGTAATATCAAGAATTTATTCAATAATATCGACATATAACTAAGAGAGGTGTTTAATTGTGGTAGCCTCGCATGGCTATTATACACGCTTTCTGCAGCTTTGTTGATGTTGTAGGGGCTGTTGCTCTGCAGTTTTACTTACTATTGATGTTGACGGGGCTGTTGCTCTGCAGTTTTACTTACTATTGATGTTGACGGAGCTGTTGCTCTGCAGTTTTACTTACTATTGATGTTGACGGAGCTGTTACTCTACAGTTTTACTTACTATTGATGTTGACGGGGCTGTTGCTCTGCAGTTTTACTTACTATTGATGTTGACGGGGCTGTTGCTCTACAGTTTTACTTACTATTGATGTTGACGGAGCTGTTGCTCTAGTTGTACTTATTATTGATGTTGACGGGGCTGTTGCTCTACAGTTTTACTTACTATTGATGTTGACGGAGCTGTTGCTCTAGTTGTACTTATTATTGATGTTGACGGGGCTGTTGCTCTACAATTTTACTGTAAAGCAACAGTTTTTTTTTACATGTTTTTACAACTTTTTTTACTACAATAATTTACTGTTTACTGTCATTTTTTTGTAATTTTACTAGAGTTTTTTACTCTTTTTGCGGCCAGTAAATCCTCCCCGGCCAGGATACGAACCCAGGACAAAGGGCTCTGGAAACGCCAGGCGCGTGCCTTAACCACGGGGCCTGCATTGTTTGTAAACATAGCAGCGCGCGTTCGGTCATGTCTTGCATAAGTAATACACTTCAACTCTCTGTTGACTCTGCAACGCCGAAGGTTAGCGATCTTACGCTAGGAATTTACCTGTCGTACAGTCATGTGTCTGTATGCACGTATGGTAGTGTGTACGGCGGTGTTATTGTTCCGAGCCATGTGTGTATAGTTGTATGTGCGAGTGTAATATTGAATCATGTATGTATGTATGTATGTATGTATGTATGTATGTATGTATGTATGTATGTATGTATGTATGTATGTATGTATGTATGGCTACGTCTGTATTATTGTTTTGAATTAAGGTCTCTTGTTTTCAGCTCTTATGAAGCTGGAAGTTCTCCAAAGTCAAGGTGTATATATACAGCTGAAAGTTCCCCAAGGTCAAGGTGAATATACACAGCTGAAAGTTCTCCAAGGTCAAGGTGTATATACACAGCTGAAAGTTCTCCAAGGTCAAGGTGTATATACACAGCTGAAAGTTCTCCAAGGTCAAGGTGTATATACACAGCTGAAAGTTCTCCAAGGTCAAGGTGTATATACACAGCTGAAAGTTCTCCAAGGTCAAGGTGTATATACACAGCTGAAAGTTCTCCAAGGTCAAGGTGTATATATACAGCTGAAAGTTCTCAGAGAGAGAGAGAGAGAGAGAGAGAGAGAGAGAGAGAGAGAGAGAGAGAGAGAGAGAGAGAGAGAGAGAGAGAGAGAGAGAGAGAGAGAGAGAGAGAGAGAGAGAGAGAGAGAGAGAGAGAGAGAGAGAGAGAGAGAGAGAGAGAGAGAGAGAGTGTGTGTGTGTGTGTGTGTGTGTGTAATTACCTAAGTGTAGTTACAGGATGAGAGCTACGCTCGTGGTGTCCCGTCTTCCCAGCACTCTTTGTCATATAACGCTTTGAAACTACTGACGGTCTTGGCCTCCACCACCTTCTCACTTAACTTGTTCCAACCGTCTACCACTCTATTTGCGAAGGTGAATTTTCTTATATTTCTTCGGCATCTGTGTTTAGCTAGTTTAAATCTATGGCCTCTTGTTCTTGAAGTTCCAGGTCTCAGGAAGTCAGGAAGTGTGTGTGTGTGTGTGTGTGTGTGTGTGTGTGTGTGTGTGTGTGTGTGTGTGTGTGTGTGTGTGTGTGTGTGTGTGTGTGTGTGTGTGTGTGTGTGTGTGTGTGTGTGTGTGTGTTTATATATATGTGTGTGTGTGAATAAATATGACTAAAATTATCACGTGTACCGTTATATAAATAAAAAGCACAATGCATTATTAACACATGTATGTAAATGAGTGTGCAACACTTGTTTGTTTACCTGGTGAGACCCCTCGCAGGGTATAACTTCGACCTAATGAGACAGGTCTCGAAGCACACATCAACTGCCTGTCCGTCATTAGCTAGTAACCACACAATCATGTTCATATACTCGAAAGTCACAAGATGTATAATCATGTATCGAATGATACACTTAACGATTTATATTATAGACAAATATTTACAAAGTTCTGAGGCTTAATTTAAAGTGTACTTTAGATGTAACCTTGAGTGGGATGTCGCTTCGCCTCTTGGGCTAACCTCAGTCCTTGTCTTGTCCAGGTGGCGTGAGGATGCTTTCCAGCTTGCTGCTCCAGATCACCACCTTCCTCACCTCTCTAGGTCTAGGTGAGTCTACCTGGCTCGTCTCGCAGAATCCAGGTAAGGGTCAACAAATATCTCGTACATCCTGTAGTTTACTTCTCTCAGGAGCACTTACTGGTTTGGCTTTTTAACCAGCACCGGCGTTGTCTATGTTGACCCAGGATTTATATAGCACTTTGGTGTCCACTTACGAAACCTGTACATCTGTCAAGTTGGCATAGTTTCCATTTATCAGTTTGAGCATCGACGCATTATGTGGTTATAAAAAAAATAAGCAATAATAACTTTGTGTAGAGAACGACTTCGTAACTGTTTTGCAGCTCGTAAACTGTTTAATAAATGTAAACAAAGCTGCCAAGATTAAGGAGAGAGAGATATACGGGTTTCGTAAGTGGCCATTGAAGTGTTTGATGAATCCTGGCCTTGCGCTTCTTAGATCAAGGGCGAGTAGCATGGCTTACCATCTTACTCTTGGAGGACGGCTGTAGCCTCTTCAGCACCCACGCTGCAGAATTTCCTCGTGTACATCCCCCTTAGGCTGTGGTGTTATTTACTGTATTTCGTAGTGTGGTTTAAGCACTGTATTGATTGTTGACGGGCACTGTAATAATTGCCGCCTTGCACTGTATTGTGTAGTATCTTGAAATCCCGCCACGTAGATCATAAAATAGCCGTTAATAGCACAGCACGTGACAATTAGTTTGTAACGTAGTATTGGAGTAATGTATAAACCGAATGTTGGAATCAACCATTGGATAGCCATCAACTGTAATTGAGCCTTGTCCTAATTCAATTAACATTGGTGCTAGAGTCAGCGTATATAACAGGCATGTTAAATGCCAAGTTAACACATTATATCTATTATAATAAGTAGACCTTGGCTTAATTTATATGGGTTATGTCAATTCGTTATTCAACAGAAGAGTGGTGGGAGGTGCTTGGAGGTGGGGGGGGGGCATGGATGAGTGGCGGGAGGTGGTTTGGAGGGGGGGGGGGGCTTGGGTGAGTGGTGGGAGGTGGTTTGGGGGGGGATTAGGGTGAGTTGTGGGGGTGGTTTGGGGGGGGGGATTAGGGTGAGTTGTGGGAGGTGGTTTGGGGGGGTTAGGGTGAGTGGTGGGAGGTGGTTTGGGGGGGGGTTAGGGTGAGTGGTGGGCGGTGGTTTGGGGGGGGGGGTTAGGGTGAGTGGCGGGAGGTGGGTGGGTGACGGGCTAGGGTTGAGTGAGGGGTGCAGGAAGGTTTAGGGTGATTGATGGTGGGGGAGGGGAAAGGTGAGGTTCTGAGGGGAGTGAGTGAATACGCGAGGTTGGGGTGGGGGGTGTAATTGTGGCTAGAGTGAAGTATAGATGTATTAGACAATGGTCATAAATTTAACATGTCTCTAAATACATACAAATATCTTAACATGAAAACAAATGTCCTTGAGTATAGAGAGGGACCCGCTCCGCCCCGCCGCCCTTGACAAAAACCTGTTGAAGCTTCCTTCGTTGGCACACGTGGGTGGGGTTTGTCCGGGTGGGGGGCGGTGTGGGTGCCCCGGGTGAGGGATAGTGAGTGGACCTCCGGGTGGGCACACTTCCCGGGCAAGAATATTTTTTTTAGGGGGGGGGGTGAGGGGTGCGGGCAGTTGATTTAGATGTATACAGGATGGTGAGATTTGGTTTTATATCGGGTAGGTGGATTTAATTCTGTACGGGATTGATATTAGTGAACCGGAGGAGAGGAGCTGGATGTACTTCTTCAGCTAGGAAATTATGTAAAAGTCTACACGAGACCTTTAACTATTCTTTGGATGGAAGTGAAGATAAAGGTCGATTCTGTTGTATCAACGCCATTTCCCACAGATTATCCCGGGAAAGAGATGGGGGGGGGGGGGGATTGTATCCTGTATAATTTTAACATTTACCGGAAACCATATAAATACTAATGGACGAGATCTTCTATAGACGTCTTCGAATTATTACGATAATAATGTTGAGATTAAACGGGGTTTCTCCCATACCAGAAATTTATAATAGGTAAGTATAGTTGGTTCCTAATCTACCCTATTACACTCTGGAAGGTAACTAAAACAAATTAGAAGGAAAATTCTGACTAAATTGTGTACATGTTTTTGCAAAGCCTTAACACCTTTAAAAACAATTGGATATATATAATGCTGAGAATGGTATAACGGTGACTAATAATACCTTCGTTGACACAGGGGAATGGTTTGGTGCAGGGGCTGGCTCTCCCGAAGCTATGAGTCGCGCTCTACCCACCACAGCAGACCCTCAAGTCCTCCTTCTCTCCAACGAGATTGACTCGTGGATGGCCCAGCCGGAGCAGACAGTTAGCAACATGCCATTTCACCTTTACCAGGTGAGCCTCTGACCTGCAAGTTTGCCTTCCTTCCTTATACAAGTCCTTTCTCCTGCAGATAGCCCAGTCATTCCTCCTCGGTGGTCAAGTGGGCACTTTTACTCTTATCAGAATTTTATGCATTATTTTGGGTGACCGGGTTTTGCCTAATGCTGGTAGTGCAGTTTATTAAGTAGATTTATTGTTTAACTATATAGATTTAATAATTATTTACATTACGTTAAAACATCCTTTGTCTTAATAAAATTATATATTTCTAGATTAATTTCATTGAAAGCTTTTAGAATTTCCATTCATCAATTATATATGAATATACAAACATAAATCTTGTATGTTCTGAATTTCTGACTAACCGAACAAGTGTCTTCACCGGGCTGTAATATATATACTCTGCTTCTCGGTGTATATACACAGTTGGTTGATCAGTGAAAATTATGCAGCCTAAATAACCCTCCATAGGTTGATAGGCCTTAAGCCTATTATCATCCTCACCCATCTGTCTTTAGACTTAAATTCTCGTACTCTCAGGTGCTGAATGCTCTGAATGGATCAGACACTGAGGTAGATGCTGACGACCCAGACAGGGCCTTCACGGGAGCAGGCAACTTCTGCGTGTCGTGCAATATCCTCTCCAATATGGTGATTGGGTATTCTCGCCTGGGCGGACCCATCGACATTATGGCAAACTTTCTAGTGAAGATTTGCTTTATAATAGGCTACAGATCTATTCCTGTCTGCCGTGGCATAATTAACCAAGACAAGGTAAGTGTGTGCTCACGTATGTTCAAGTAGTTAGGTGAACAAAATGAATGTTCTAGCAGGCAAAATATACTAGATTAACGCTAAACTGGCGTAGGATTATCAATGTTGATTATTTGTTATATATCAAAGTTATTTACCTAGGTTTGCCGTGGAAATTAAAACTTGTTACAATTGTTTGCGGGGAAATCTCATTGATTGTATAATGTGGAAGATTTTGAGAATAAATTTAACCTGTCTCTATATTGCTCTAAAGTTCCTCAGTGCCTCATTACCACACAAGTTAACCGATTCACTCATGTAAACCAGTTATTTAAATAATTAAGTTTGTATAAAGGAAACTACAGACCCAACGATATTAAGAACCAACGATGACAGGCCGTTCTGCACAAACTTGAACCTTTATAAAAAAACATTATCATGGACGTGTTATAAAGCGTCACAAGAGAACAAGAGGAGAGGAATCAGACTGGGCGTGGGGTTCGGGAACTGAAGGGCCACATCTCTTCACTTTTTGACTTAAACCTCTTAATGTTTTCAGTATAGGACAATCTGCTTTCCAGGGATTTAACAATGCCTCTTCCATTTTTAGTTATTCATAAATTCATGCTAGCCAGAATCTTAAAAAAACAACTTCAATACCTATTCAAGATGGCTTAATTGAGGCATTCACAGTTAAAGGGATGGAAGCATGACGTTAAAGGGCTAGGCATGATTCCTTGCATCTCGAAGACTCGATGAGAAGCTTGTTGGAGGGGGGGGGGGGGTTGCAATTCATGAACTCGAGCTAAATTTTTGCCTGCAATTATATAAAATTGATCTGGTGTAGTTGGGTTGTGGAATTCCCTCCTCCCCCTTTTTCTCAAATTCTTCAAGGTTTCTCCCGCCGTGTTTAACTGGTAATAGTTTGACAGGTAATGGAGTTGGAATTAATTACTGGTAGTCCAGTCAGGTTTATTCTTGACTCGTACTCGTTCGAATCCCGAGCGGGACAGAAATGGTTGGGCTCATTTTCTGTCACCTAATGTTCCTGTTCAAATAGCAGTCAATAGGTACCCAGGAATTAAGTCAGCTTGTTGTGGGGTTGCATCCTGAGAAGGGTCAGTAGTACAAAAGGAATTCAAAATTAATTAACCTGTATCTTGCGAGCGGCAAACTGTTACAGAAACTTGCATTTTTCGGGGAACCTTCGACAAGCTTCCTGTCTTCATCGTGGCCACTATATATATGGTGGCAATTAGGTAAATTCGGGTACTGTGTATATATACAGGTATTATTAGTGTTGATGCATCTTGCAGGAACGTCTTGAATATATCCTCCGGAACAGCAACTCTGACGCAGATGAAGTGTGTGCACTGATGCTTGGTAACCAGGGATGTGGGTCCTTCCGGCGTGCCCCCTGGAATGTTGTCATCCCGCCCAGTGATTTCTTTACCAAGAACCCAACGGAGTCATTACAGAGAGATGGCTATTCTCGTGCAGTACACACACTACCTGAACAGGTAATATTTATGCTTTAACTCCTAAGTTAACCTTACTATGGTTCAGTAAGTACTGTGTGCGTCTAGGGGGAAGTCCAGGGATGTGAGTTCAATCCCATTCTACATCCAAGATATTCTCATAATAAAGAGCAGCACATGTTATTAATTCATTGTATCAGTCAAATTCTTCAATCATTTTCAAGCCATTTTTTCTGTGGGGGTTCAGATAATTTAGCTTTTTATCCTCCATACAAACTGTTGGTGTTGGTAAACATTTTAACATGCAATGTTGAAAGTGTTAGTAATCTGTGGTGTTGCCCAAAACAAGGCTGTCAGATATGGGACAAATTACCGATTAAAATGCTCGCAGAGTTTGATAGCTTCCACCATTGAAAGCAGACAATGAAGCTCATGAACAAAGAACAGTAGGCTGACACACTACAGAGCGTGTGCAGTACAGAATTAGAATACAAAAATGGTTAACGTTACAAGAATGTTGAGTCACCTCAGTGGGTCTGTTGGCCAATTGTGGGCAGTGTTCATATATATCAAGTAATTCTACCATGTATCTACAGTCGCCTTTTAATGTTGATCAGTAGTCTATTCCACTCGTCTGCCACCAGATTGATACTCCTCCATATCCTTTTTGAATCTGTACTACTACTAGTAGTATACAGCCATTGCTTTGGGTTCTGATCTAGTCCCATAATTTATGGGATCTAGGTCTGATAGTCCCACACTTTATCCACTTAATTACTTTGATGTCTCCACTGATGTGCTTCTCTAGGTAATTCAGGCAGAGCTTCCTCACTATTTATTGGAGGCCATGGTTGTTACAGTGGAGAGACTATTTGGCCATAATAAATGACTGGGTGATAGTAGTATTACGCTAGTTTTTAGGACCGAGAGAACCTGGGAAATAATACTGCATATGAACTGTACCTGGCACAAATGACAGCATGTGGAAGTGAAGGTTGGATCTGCCAGAGGTTTGGTTGTGTGGAAGATTTGGTGGAGGGAGTTGTGTAACTTTTGTTTTAATTATAATTTTGTTGGACAGACAGACAAAGGAATAAAATGTGTATAAATTACTTATTACAGGAAGAAAATGTTCGTGATTCATTGAAAGTAATTAAACAGCAACTGGATCGGCAACATGCTGGTCCGCAGACTACCACAGCCGGTGGCAGAGGTGGAGATGATAGCAGTGGTAAAAAAGTGCTGAAGGTGCTGCATCTGACGGACCCACACTTCGACCCAGACTACCTTGTTGGGGCTAATGCTGTCTGTGATGCTCCCATGTGCTGCAATGCCGATAGTGGTGAGGCTGTAGATTTACACATGGAATGAATTATTTTCTTGTACTCGTTCTACATTTACCCTTGCCTATCTTCATTTAGTTTATTATGGACCCCACGCCCATCTTGTGGGCAGTGGTGGATAGGTTATGGTCACAAATGGGTTCAAGAACTGGACCCAATGTTCTTGCCATTTACATTTTTGATGAACTCGTTAGCTTTAAGTTGCCTCAAATTTTAGATAGTTATGCAATTACATGCCATTAGCTAATGCTGTTGTGGTATGTACATAGTCAGGAATTAAGCATGGCAAAAACTTGCAGGCATTGCATGATTAATGCCAGTACTGCATGTACTCCATCTATAATAGGTTAACTTGGAATACATGGCTAGGATTTTGGATATGTCATTCTTCATTACCATTTCTCCTACACAGGTCCAATAAAGAGTCCAAAAGATGCAGCAGGGAAGTGGGGGGACTATCGTAACTGTGATTCCCCACGATGGTTGCTGCAACACATGCTACACCATATTATCGAAAATCACCCGGTAACTAATAACAAAAATTGACCTTTGTTATTATATTGCTCACATTTTTTAAGACTATACCAGCTTTTAGAACAAAGTTAGATCTGGATCCTTAACAGCAAATCATTTTTTTACTAAAAATTTTGAGGAAGATGGGCCAGAGGGGGTGGTTTAAGAGGAGAGTTCATGGAGGAAATGAATGTAATGTGTTTAACATTCTGTAGAGCCTTTTATAATGTGGACTGTATAGTCATTCAAAATAGATCAAACCTTATGAAAGAATAAATCTCTAAATACAATGATGAGGTTCAGAAATGTACATAGTCCCACCAAAATGTGGCATCGGCAAAAATGTTTTTATCTTAATAACTTGATTGGTATTAAATAATTACAAATTTAATATACAAATGGCTATAATAGTTTGATAACTTCACCTGCAGGACATTGACTACGTGTTGTGCACGGGAGACTTGGTTCCTCATCACATCTGGAAGATTTCCCGCAAGGACAACTTGGCCATTATGCGCCAAGTGACAAACCTTGTCACGGGATTCTTTCCTGACATCCCGATGTTTGGGGCTGTTGGCAACCATGAGAGTTTTCCTCGGGATAGGTGAGTGTAGTGGCAGCGATCACAACAGGGGATATGAAGAAGTTTTTATAGTGAAATGATTGTAGTTGTTGGTTTATAAGGTAGTTGCCACTTGGAGAATGGCACGATAATAGACAATAGATTGGCTAATATAGATGTGCATCCCGAAATGATAAGAAAAAGTTTACTAAACAGTGAAGCAAGATAGTTTCCTATTGTCAAGGTTAGGAAGCCTGTTGCATTTATCGAGGTCCTCCTGGGCTGATGGCTAATCTTTTCCAAGGTAAAAATTCTTCACGTACAGTACAACCCTCCAATCCTTGCATGGCGAAAAGGAAAATCTTTAGCTAACATACTGGTGAAGGTACAATTCCCTGGGCCCCAAAGTGGCAGGCCTAGGGACGAACAAAAATTGCTGTACCCAGGCAGTTAAAGATGCCATTTGTGTAGCAGGAATTAGTTCGACAAAGTTGTTAGGACTCCATTTTAAATACTCCTTATATAAGTATAAGGTAAAAAAAGTTACATCTAAAGTTACAAAAAAAGTTACATCTAAAAAGTCAGATGTAACAAACAAGAAGCAAAGAGTTTCAAGCTCAGTGTGCCACACAATAAGACACAAAACAGGAGATGCTTTTTCACCCATAAGGTTACTGTATAAACCCTTGGAATTGCCTACCTGCCAAAGCCATTAATGCCAAATCACTGCCGAATTTAAAGATCCAGGTCGATAAAATCATCAGGGCAAGCCACCGGCTTCCTGTCCTTGTTGAGGCCACGAGAGTTAGTGGCCCCTCGGGTAAGTTTTTATTTTTATTTTATTTATTTATTCTTGTCTATTTCCTTGTTTCCATGTTCATCAAGAAAATAATTATCTGCCTCAAACTGTAGAACTATGAATAGTTTAGTCACCTCACAGCTGATTGAAGCAAAGTTCAATTCCCTGGTAGGGAGCTCGACCACTTGGGCTGGACAGTAGAGCGATGATCTTGCTTCATACAGGTCGGCGTGCAATCCCCAACCGACCAAGTGGTTGGACACCATTCCTTCACACTCCTATCCCAAATCCTTATCGTGATCCATCCCAAATCCTTATCGTGATCCATCCCAAATGCTTATCGTGATCCCTTCCAAATGCTATACAGTATAGTTTTTCAATTTCAATTTATCTTTTGTATTTTATTAACAGTTTCCCCCCACCCGAAGTGCCTGAAGTTTGGTCAAAGTTTGGTGTTCAGTGGCTGTACGATGCTGTAGCCGAGCAGTGGGAGAAAATGATGAAAATGCCTACACCCAGCAGTGCCCGCTTTGGGGGATATTATTCCATCTTGGCTCGTCCAGGTCTAAGAATTATATCCATCAATACAAATTATTGTTACAGGTTTAATTGGTGAGTACAGTACATGCATACAGTACATAGTGTGCCTGTATTACTTTTCTTGAATTTTGTTGTGTTCATCAAATTAGCCAGCCATTTAGTTTGTCACTTTGGCATGTCCATGATGGAGAAAGGAAATAACTTTTTGTTTGGATCAGATTTGAACCACTTTCGTGGTACTGAAACATTCAAATGTAGTTCATTCCAGACCTAGATTGTCAATTACATACAGTTGCTGCTTCTCACTGTTTTGAAGTGGCAGAAAAAGCAACATGGATTAATTTACCAGCTGGTTTATATTCATAAATATATAGGCATTTTACAATCATTACATATAATAAGCATAAAATTACTGTATAGTTGGGAACCAGAATGAAAAAATCCAAATATACTTTTTCAGACAGAATGTCTTAAAAGTACGATACTGTACAAAGTTATAGCTCAGCAGTCTAGAATCTAAAATGAAATTAATTTCCTGATTTTAATGTTATGCTTTGTATTTTAAGACAACTTTTCTTTGCAAGATGCATTGGATGATTTTAAACTACATCTTTGCCTCCATACAGGTGGTTGTTGTACAAATCGGTGGATCCTGGGCTGGTACTGCGGTGGCTGGTGTCGGAGCTACAGCAGGCAGAGGTCAGGGGCGAGCTGGTGCATATCATCGGTCACGTTCCACCATACTACAATGACTGTTACATGCAGTGGGCTCATCAGTTCTCTCGTATAGTTACCAGGTAAATGAACTGATAAAAATCACAACCAAAAGCTTTAGAATTTCATTGGGCTGTAGTTGTTGGCAAAGGAATGGGAGGGTCCGGGGAAAACTGATGAAGATAGTTGAGTTTATTCTTCTCTATTGTGTTGTTATTCCCTGCCTTCACCCAGCTGTGTTTATGACTGTCTTGTTTATTCACATTCCCACAAGTCTTATATTTGGAATACTGTAAGCCTTGAACTGTGCAGCTGTTTAAAAGTACAGTACCATAGTACATCAAGGCAAGCATGATTGAAAATACAGTACAATATTTAATAAATCATATGGGGAAATATTGTACCTGGTGAATGAAGTACAGGAGGAAATCAATGTGACTGGAACATTGTAAGAGTTATTCTGGTGATTTTCGTCCACAGATATGCCTCTATCATCAAAGGCCAGTTTTATGGACATTCACACCTTGACGAGTTTCGGGTGCACTATGATGTGGATGCGCCAGATAAACCCATCGGTATCCAGTATATTACTCCCAACAATGGACCCTTTCACAACCTCAACCCTTCATACAGAATTTTCTACATAGATGGGGACTACCCAGAGACCACAAGGGTAATTGAATTTTGTCCAGCTTTTGTTTTATTTAACCTCAGTAATTACAGAAGGTAGGCCTATTCCCAGCTAGGGATGCCAAATACTTCGACCCAATTTGTAATTTCCAAAGTGGTGTGTTTTCTTGCTTCCTGGATGTCTAAAGTGCATATATTTCCTTGGCTCACCCATTGCCTTTCCCCCAGAACGTGTTAGATCATGAGACCTGGGTGATGAACCTGACCCATGCCAACAAGTATGATAACCCGTACTGGTACAAGCTGTACTCAGCGCGTCAAGACCTCCAGCTGCCCTCCCTTGAACCACAGCACTGGGACCAGCTGGTGAAGAAAATGGCAAGTGATCCAGAACTCTTCAACAAGTACTACAGGTGGGTTAAAATTTTAAGATGTTTACAAATCTATTTTTTAGTACTGTATTTAAGTTTAAAATGCACCTTTAGCCCTTGGCTAAAGGTTGATATATTCTGACTTGACATACAAAAATATCACAAGCAGAATATGAATTCAGACATAACAGCACTCAGTAAGTATTGAGTAGAAATGAAGCTGGTTGGCATTTATTGCCTTGGTAATGGAAATGAATTGGAGAAAGAGAATGTGGGATACACTGTCCAGTAGCACTGTAGTGCTACAGGACCGTGTATCTCTACCTCCATCTAGCAATAAATAGGTACATGGGAGCTAAGAAACTTGTGGGTTGTATCCTGGGGGAAGATCAGTTGGGTAGTGTTCCATGGAGGAAATACAGTGCACTGACATGCCTTTACTTTTCACATGCCTCTTAAATAGGCCTTCATTAACCTTTGGACAAGGATAACAAAAAATAAAATATGGTCACTCAAAAGTCTTATTCAGTACATCAACAATCAGTTTTATAGCCAATCAATGACCTACAAATTTTAATGCTTTCTACATATCATGACTCCGTAATAGTTCTTAAAGTTGCCATTTCCTCATTGATTACAAGGAGTTAGTTTATTACTGACGTGCTATAATGGTTGCACATGATTAGGGACTTAATACAAATTATAAATACCTCTACATGATATTTATATTGTAATCATAACATACCCACAAATTTTTCAAACAAATATTTATACTACTACGTATATTACGTTTTATTATTTCAACAGGTACCAAGTTCAGGACAGTGATAATTACTATACAAATCGTGTTTGTGGAGCCAAATGTCACCGGAGAACTCTCTGTACACTTGTTGAGGGAGACAAACTTCTGCCTCGCAAGTGTCCACCCAAAGTTTGATAATCCTATACCAGCAGTGAATGCTGGAAAGTTTTCAAGGAAAATACAGAAAGCACAAGCGAAGGATTATGTGCTAAGTTTTACTGTAGCATCTATAACCTCTGATTTTATAATATATTTTAGAAATGAAGTGGTTTAGTATGTTTACTTTGACAAGAGTCAAATAAGACAGATTTTCAACGTTGTAACTTGTGCCATTTTTCAATAATTGGCAATTTCCAAGAAAATTAATTTGTGAATTGTGGTAATCTTGCAATTTCTTCGCGTCTCGTTGATATGGCTCCTTAAGAGGAAAGTAGAGCTGTGCATTTCCTAGGAATGAACCACCCCTGGGTAGATCAGTGCCAGACTAGACCCCAAAAATATACAGTACTTAGAATGTGCAGGAATCCTCAACCCTGACCTGGCTGAACATGTTCAGGAGGCCCTGCTACTTTCCAGAAAAGTGTGTGCCTATTGAAGAACTCAATTACCCTCTGTTTACCATAAATGGATGTAACCTAACATGAAGTGTAGTTGTTAATCAAATCATGATTTATACTGTTATCCTTAAGATTTGGAGCATGCATACTGTACAAGGACATAATAGAAAGTTACTTTTCTAACTTTTTGTAAACTGCTGCCATATTTTGTACTGCTTTTAATTAATTAGTTAGTATTCTTATCTCAAACTTAGGTTTTAGTTAAGAATGTCCTACAGTATTAGGTTGGAAGATATTTAAATATATGCAGTTCTGGATATGCTGGAGTTCTTGGGTATACAACAATTGAATTTGGAAATCAAAACCCCTTGACTACTACATAGCTACTGTACATATACAGTATGTGTGTTACACTATTTATTTAATGAATGTATTAAAGCTGATAAATTTGTAAATTGTATAAAAAGCCATGTACTATACTGAAAATGTTGAAATCGAAGTGCACTAATGGATATACTGGTCTAGAGGTTTTTTCTATTTTACACTTTAAGACCAAGATACCTCAATGAATTTTTTATCAGAAAACCTTAAATTTTGGGCAGCATGGTTGAATTAAACAAAGTACAGCTGTGATCTTTAGTGTCCATGCACAGTATTCTGATGCAAATTGTATTTTCCCTTATTCATTTATGTCTTGAACAGCCATCAAGTTCTTCGGGTAAATGCAGAGCTATATATTTACTATTTACTCTAAACCATGAAATTTTTCCATTGCTATATTCAGATTATAATAGTCATACATTGTATTTTGCATTGAAATATTGTACAGTATATACATAGTAGTCATGTAATATTAATACTGTACTTATTTTTATAAATTACATTATGCTTATTTATGAATGACTACAGGGAAGAAATGTAGCTCTTTATTCAGTGTCTTCCCTCTCAGCATGGTTAGTTTCCCCTTTGTAGATGGAAATGACTTTGGCAACCCCTTCCTTCAATGCATTCCACAGGCCAACTACCCATACAGGGTATGACAATGTCTTAAGTTATAACTCGAGTGTGTGCTCACCTTCAACTGATGTCCTAGTAACTGCCATATGTTTGTATCAATGCTTGGAGTTGTGTAAGATAGTTTAATTTTGGTAACCCATTACGTGTACAGAGCTTTCAATGCAAATTTCCCTCATTTGCCCATTAAACAAGTCAATTTTTTAAGTCCATAATTTTTCATTAATGAGGTTGTAACCATTCCAGAGAGAACATGCTGGACATTTTGCTCAAGACCAATTTCCTCTTTAATAAATACACTTCATCACACTTGTCATGTATAGCTGCACTGATGTACATTTTGTGTAAAGTATTTATTGAGGAGAACTGTATCAGCATTCCATGTAAATAAACTGCTAGTCTTTAATTATATTTAAATACAGTATACCCAATACTCTACAGTTGCCAGTATTTACACTCATGCATTTGGTTGAGCATGTGATCTAAGTAGACCACTGTGCTACAGGTACAATGTATGTCCTCTGCTCACAATTCAGGGACCCCAAGTTTAATTCCCAGGCAGGACAGAAAGGGCTGGGCAATTTTTCTTTCACCCGATACTTCTGTTAACCAAGCAGTAACATTTGTACCTGTAAGTAAGGTCACCTGCTGACCATAACCAGGATGCAACCCACAACAGTTAGCTAGGGAGACCTTTATAAGCCTAATTACTCTTCTTCCCCTCCCCCCCCCTCTCCCGTTCCTGACAATGGGAATTATTTGCACCTTGCTGGAGTACAAATAATAATCCAGAAGTACTGAACCTGAGCAAGTGATGTGTGCAACAATCTCTTCAAATCCTAAACTGCGTACTTTGAAAAAGTAGAAATGGAGTTTTCCCGTTATAATACTTGTGTTCTATTTATACAGCAAACTATGTAGTAATCTACAACACTAGATAAATAGGAAGTGAGGCAACTTTAGAAACTGAAAAGGTTATTATACAATTCAGTTACATTAAGATTTACATAAGAAAAAGATGTTGTTATTTTTATTTAACTAAGATGAGCTTACTAATAATGTGACAGTAAGGTAGAAAGATGAGATTCCGTTAAAATATTGTAATAATGTAAAGTACTGTTTGAGCAAGATGAAATATATACTTAACTTTCACTATATATGCATCTCTCAGATGGAATAGGTCTAGACAAAATGTTTGTTTTGAATGGAGGCATAATAAGGTCAGTTACAGTATACCAAAATGCAAAAAAAAAAAAAAAACTATTACCTTCAAACTAGAGGTATAGAACTATGCAACATGTTACATAGAAATACGAATAATATTTCTTAATAAGAACATTGGGCAGCCATGATTTGTGCATATATTATTTGTATTTTGACTGAAGATACTAAAAATATTTCATCTAAAGCAGTCATATGTACCAGAAGGAAGTCAGGCTGTCCTTTGTTAGCCATATGTCTATATCACGACTAGAGAGAGAAATAATCTTATGTATCATCCGAGAACTAGGTGAACCCATCATGCAGGCAACTATTTTTGTCTTGCAGAAAATTGAAATAGGTCTAAAGCTAATGGAGTAATTAACCAAAATATATAACCATAATTTTCTACATGTTCTTAAATTCTGTATACTAAAGGCATGATAATATAGAAGAGGTAGAAATAAATTAGATATTAAAGTACTCACCAAGGATCTGCGCCTACATCTGTTGACTGCCATCCCCATCACTGCACACATGGCTTGATAATGTTCATTTCCTTATGGAAGAGTTTGGGCATATGTTTCAGCAGCCAATTTCAGAATTGCCTTCAAATACATTGATAGAGATATGCTTCACAAAATGTTCACAACATGTGAGACTTAAGGTGGAATATACAGCAGTTGTTTGCTATAAATTAAATGAGTATAGTAATTACCATAACCACTGGAAACTGCAAACATTATACTGTTCGTCAAAGATTATATGGGAGACAGGACACCACAAGAAGAGCTCTCAACCTGTAACTACATTATAGTTAGAAGCATATATACATGTACCATATAGTACAAGATCTTAAATACAATGGGAAATGATAAAAGTGTAAGGATAAACAAAATATGAGGCCATAGTATAATGATCACATCTACATATACAGTACGAAAATTTATATAACGTAAGCATGACAGAAAAAAACAATTGGCAAGTATAATTTTAATGAGTACTACAAACAAACGATATGAACCACAGTTTAGAAGAAGCATAAAGAATTATATATGTACTACCAAAGCATCCAAAATGCTTTACATATTTCTTCTTCAGTATACATGTAAAAACAAAATAAAGGAACCTGCAGAAGGCCTATTGGCCCATATGAGGCAGCTCCTATTTATACCCACCCAAACTCATTAATATATGTCTAATACAGTATAATGACACCTCAACTAGATGAAAACATAACATTAAGCTAAAGTAGTGAATTTTAGTTTCATAATTATGCCTTCAAAATAGATTTCACTTGGTTGTTAGTAAAAGATAAAAATATATTGTAGATTCAAGTTTTTAAGTTAACAGACTACAGACCTTCACTGAAATTAATATGTAAATTGTTTAAAATGTATATCACAATTAATAATTGAACATTTTTGTTATTATGCCAATACTAATGCAGCTGATATTTCCTTGGATGAAATATATGCTATAATTTTTGGCATTTAGTTACGTGCAACACACACACTATCTTTATATAGCAATGTCTGGAGAAAGATTTGTTAATTAAAACTGCAAATGGCTTCACATATTCACAACTTTGAGCAAAACACAATCTCCTCCTAACACCTTTCTCCGAGCCCTTAAAAGGTTTATACGTAAAATTGTACCCAGTGTCTCCTGTGGCTTAATTATTGACAAAGGAACAATCTCTACAATGTTTAAATGGTTTCCAAAAACAAATCTTCATTTCAACATCAGTAACAAATATAAAAACAATTACATGTGGACTATTTTTATCAATTCTATGTTATGAAATCCAAATACGAGTAAACATTGTTACATATTACAGAACTTGAAAAAAGGTACTGTATATACTATACCATACAAGAAGGTGCAACAAAAATAACTATGTACTGTACTGATGGTACAGGATATATTAAATATTTAATTACATATTACATATGTTCAAGTGCTGTATGTCTCCACTAGATTCTTTTTAACAAAAATCTCATTATTCCAACAAAAGAATATACAGTAATAATATTAATCAGATACTATATTTAGCAAATGGAAACTTTTACATCATCTGCATCTCTCGCACATTTCTTTCCATACAGTAAATATTTTAATAAATGCCTTATATTTTCACATACACAATAAACTAATCCAAGAAAACTGGTATATGTAAACACAGTCCAATTAAAATAAACACTAAAAATGCAGCGTTAAATGTAATGAAACGTCTATCCATCGGGTCTCCTTGGTGGCTCCCTAATCTCAGGGACCTACCAAGGAAACCCATCAGGAAAGATTCCTATATAGTAAGATCAACTGGTTAAAGAATCTAGTTGGCAAGTATAACTGAAGAACAATGTTTATATGATAAAATGTGCTATTTTATCAACATCATAATTACAGTACTGCATATCCAAGAAACTTTGGTAAATGATTTGCAGACGTAGTCTCAATCATGCGGCTGAAAACAAGAAACCCAACCCACACACATGAAACTGGATTGTGTTATTTGTACAGCAATCATATCTCAAAAGTTTAAATTGAGACAACAAGATAAATTTAAAGCTTTACAAAATTACATGGAATAATTTTTGTAGGATTCAAAGGAAAAAATTTCTGGAAACATCTCCAACAGAGCAATCATGTGAACATCTAGTATACTCGTACAGTATTTTGAAATATTGCTTTTCTTCTTTTCAAATATAATTCCGGAAAACTATACTAATAAACTGCAGTAGGGGGCATTTATACAGTGGTCATATCTTATAATGAAAATAATGTTAGGCATTTATAAAATAAATGTACATAACCTTTGGGGAACCAAGAACTCATTCTTAAGGAGTGATATATAAAAATACAAGTTATTTTGGTGAATATTTTGCTCATGCTTAAAGCTCATTTGAACCACTAAATACCACACAAATTTAATTTCAAAGACAAATCTTTGATTGTATCTGGAACAAACGAAAGTTCTTGACTAAGCTTCCAAAATCTATATCATCCAAATAGCATCTGACTGTACAAAGAGCAAAGAATAGCATCGCATTAATCATTAACAAGGATTTATCCTTATTCAAAAAGGTCACATCAGTGATACATTGACTATGCCCAAGCCGAGTAAACATGATTAGGTACTCATTACAAATAAAATTGCTGCCATCATTTGCTGTACTAAAATTCATCAGAATTTGAACAAATTGTATTAACGTTCATGCTAAAATGAAAGTTAACAAAAAATCCAACAAATAAGTCATAATAATGAGGCTGAAACTTAACCCAATCCGTGCACATATGAAAAGAAATGAAAGTGATGACATTTCAGTCCATCCTGAACCAGGACAGACCAAAATGTTGTCTCTTTCCTTTCTTTTCATACATGTGGGTTGGGATATTAACAGAAAATATTGCTACATTTCACTAAAAAGCAATGTTCATGAACTGGAAAATCCTAAAAATAACATTACTGTAGTAAATAAAATCAATTCAAATTGTAAAAAAACTTTAATTTTCCCGTGTGCCAAAGAGACAAATTGAAAATAACCTCTTATAATTTGTTGTTATTATTACATATACTGTATAATAATTTATGTGAAATATATAAAGTACTGTAAGTACCGAAGAAAAAGCTAACCCAGGATGGCTACATAACACTATCTGTCGCAGAAAATATCTAAGCAGTCCTAAATATCCTTCAGGATACTAATACAAAAACAGAGACTTGACAAAATCTAAAAAATCACCAAATTTTTTTTAAAACAAACAAATAAAAATAAATAAATGCTACGATACAACTTATAATCTGAGCATTCCACAGAACAAAAATTACAAATGCAAGTACAAATTTATAAATGCAATCTTACATAATTTACGTTTCATTTTCCTAGCTAGGACCAGCCTGAGTCTTGTGTATTACGTATACTGTACATTAAATTTATATACAAATGAGAGGAAACTACTTCAATCGAGACATGATTAAACCAATTAAAAGATTTCTAATTACAGTAATTTGTTGGTTATTTGTGAATTCAAAAATTCAGATATGTTAACCAAATGATGGAAACTAACTGACACACACTTTCAAGATAAGAATAACTGTTACATTTACAGATATGTAAGTAATTATATTCAATCTAAGTTAAATCCATCTGTTAACCAAATTTTCATTCCAAAACAATACACAATTAAACCACAAGAATGTTATGAACCTATTTATAAATATTGAAGTTGTACAATGGGATAAAAGATGCATGCCTGAAAGCCTCGGGCATACGCACTACCGAGTCATAACAGTCTTGTTGGTAGTGTGGGCGCCGAGGAATTCAGATATGCAGATTTAATCCTATCACATGACCTCATTATTTATTCACTAATAAAGATGTTTATTGAAGATATCAGTTGAAATTATTCAACAAAATGTCATTAAAATTCACCACCAAACATTATTATTTCTGAAATATATGTAGAAATTTGAGCATCATGCAAGAACATACATACCTATGCATTATGTCAGCATGTATGTATACATATTTTATGTAGAGTGCACCTTCCCAAATCCAGACCTCACTATAACAGTTCTTTCTAAATAATGGACCAAGGCCACCCACTGAATTTCCTCTTATGAAATTTACATAAAAAAAAAAAAATGGCAATGTTGGTTTAACACACAAATTTGATGGTCATATTTTACAATGTTTTTCAAAACGATGCATTTATATTTTAGAAATATATCACTACATATGCACTGTACTACAAATTGTACAAACAAATTTACACTGTATTTACGTGACTTTCTCTCTCTAAGGTACCCAGATCTACTGTTAAGCCATGCATATATGCACGAGAGCTAGCTGCGCATATTTCTCATGCGTGACTGTGGTCTAACCCTTTCATTACTCGAGTGTTTTCACTCATTTTTCTTCCTATGCATTATTATTTGCACAGTGTAGCCATGATACGTCTTAAAAGAATGGGTACATCATACAAGGATAAGAGGAACTTTCTTACCATATAATACTGCAGCAGAGTTATATTTGAAAAAAAATGTGACTGTAGCTGGGGATGAAAGCAGCTGGCAGAGCAGTATAACATTGGTCTTAGTGCGATTTCTGGTTTTTAGTGAAGAAACAAGTTACAATCTGTAGCCGAGAGAATGACATTAATCATGGGAATTGCGAACTTCAAGTTTTGTATGTACAGTACTTGTATATGCAAAATTTGTTGATAGGCAAAAAAATGCAAATTTTAGAAATTTTGGATTTCACACACACAAACACACAAAATTGGATCGGATCCAGACTGCTAAGATCTGGATTTTGGAAGTGACACTACGTACTTATGTATAAATGTATGTATGTACACAGTATATGCATGTATGTAAGCCATACATGCATGCATGCACACATAATGTACATCCACAGACGATAATTACAGGGTATGGAAGTGTGCATCCAACATGTATAAAATAATGAGGTTTGCTTTAAATTTTGCAAATAATTACACCTACCAGCTTATTTATATTCATTAGTACGTAGTAATTTTTAATATACTCGGGAGTAAATTAAAGAAACTTAAAATCTTGCAGTGCATGAAACATTGGAATTCTACATAAAGTTTAACCATGGAAATACATACTGTAATTGCCATGATCAATGGACAAGTAAAAATTCCTCTTTAAAACTTACTGCTACAATTCTTCATATGTAAAAAATCAAGCCACTGTCTTTTTGTACATCATTCACTGAGTCAAAATGCTCGATATCCCATTATACTAGAATATGTGGTAGCCTAACTACAATATATATTTTGTGAGTAACAAGTTATTTGTTATACAATATTATTGGGGTATAAAAAAAATGGTATCTATATGTAAAAAAGAAATTGAATCATACACAGATTATGTCAGAAAATATATTGGAATTTATACATTTTTCCTAATGACTGACCAGTGAACTACCGACTGATTTTGGAATCCAAGACTATGTGCGGATCAAAAGAAATGACAAATAATGTTAAGTAAATAAAAGCTTACCATAAGTAGCTGCTGACATATATGTAGACGCTTCAGTGACTCTTGGGCTGCATGATGAAATGCTGACGTCATCACCTCTCCACTGGGCAACTAAATTAGCAGTGCAGCTCTCTCCACACCCATACTACCACCACAAATTTTATGAGCAAATAGCCTGTAACACACACACACACACAATACATTTTCCAATATTTAAGGATCCATGCTAATTGGCTAGTGTAAAGGATATTAGGTGCATTCCACACATATATATCTTATCAGATACATTAATCGCAATATGATGAAGTACAGTACGTATCTACTTCTATCACTAAAAGAAAGAACACACTACTGTACCTCTCTTAAATGTGACCTTGTTTTTGCCTGTTTTCACCATTCAATTTAGCTACTTCCAACTTACATTCGCAACTTAAATTCCTATTACATTATTAATATTCACACATGCATGATTTATTTTTCAGCTCAGAGCCATATTTAAAATGCATCTCTAATTTGTCTAGTACTGTACTTATTATTGCTTTAAGGTATTCTGAGTAAAAACCCTTTATGCCATTGATGGCACATTTTGTGCTGAGTGCAGATGGTAACAAAAGGTTTGGGGTAACAAGAGTGATCTGAAGCTCTAGAACATAGCCCTAATTTTCATGTTAAGCTCTACATTAGTACTAATGGTATTACAGTATGTGGATATGTTTGGATACTAAGTATTGCTCGTATTGGTGTAACTTGTCATATACACCTACATTATAAGTTTGTCTAAACTGGTGGTACCAGACGACTAGTGCAGAGTTCATAACTGTGGTGCAAGACTATATTTGAATGCCAGGAGTAGCTAACTGTATGGTTTCAGAGGACATGATGACTAAATTTTAGATACTGTACAGTATATTCATTTCCAATTGTGGTAATTTCAAAAGCATGCTGCCTGTGTTCTATCATCTTCATACTTATCACTATTCTGGGTGGGTGGGAGCACATCTGATCCTCCAATCATTCTCCCTCTCCACCTTTCCAAATCAACAACCCCCTATCGCTCCCCTTCATCTTCATCTTTCTTCAAACTGGCTTCTCGCCTTTCAGCTGTGCCGCTTACTTCTGGGATGACTGGTGCCTCTCTCTCATCAATTTCCTCAAATGATGAACCAGTATTGGCATCACTCTCTTCTCCACCAAGAGACCCTGAGTCTGCATCAGCAGCAGCTTCAAGTGCATCAGCAGCATCAGTAGCTACAGCAGAAGGGCTCTCAGCAGGCTCCTCTGTTGTGGTTTATTGGGTCAATAAGTTGAGATACATAATATGTAGTAAAAACATCGCATAGTTAAAGGAAGAATATTTGAAAGAACAATTATTTTCAGATATGATGGAAGGGTTATTCAACTTCTGATCAGTTGCAGGCAAACATTTCTATTTACACATATTTGGTAGGCCACATTTATATTTTGAGTTATGAAAAATCTATACTAGTTCAATCAAGACAACAATTATGTACAGAAATGGCAGAATTGAGAATCTTCAAAGAAAAGGATAAAATTCCAACTTGAGGACATGCATCTTCCAACAATAGGAAGGCACAAATGTTGGGCCTCACTTTAAAGTGATCAATAAAAAACACATGAACTGTCTGTAACTTTCTGTCTGCTGTTACATTAGAGACAATGCAAATACAGTATATAAGAACATCTTGAGAACATAGGAAAAGGTGAAACTGCAGAAGGCCTACTGGCCACTGCAAAGGGCTCCTATTTATACCCAACTAAACTCACTCATACATTTACAGTATGTCTAGGAAAATTCTTTAAAAAATCCAATAATCCCACATCTATTATGTTACCCAGTAATTTGTTCCTTAATCTACAATCATATTCCCAAGACAGTACAGTATATGCCAAGGTCTGTTCTGAATGGTCAATAGTTTATGGTGTGAGTGCAAGCTGTCCTCTCAACTAATATATCACAATTTTAATGGAATCAGTCCATCTGTCAAGAACAAGATATTTTAATAAAAACTGAAGTGCTAACACTTTCTAAGCATTGGCCTCAATAGGTTAGGCGAGTAGCTTAGATTCAAATGTTTCTGGTTAGACAAAACAATTCCATTTTTTACAGTGTCAAATTGTGTAAACATACTGGTAAGCGACATTTAACTAACCTGGCTGCGAGGGGACAGAATGTGAAGGGAATGTGGATGGGTCAGTATGGACTTCTGATGGGGGTGGAGGGTAACTGGAGCTATCATCACCCACACTTTCTGAACACTCAGAATCATTCAGTTCGCCACCTGTTTTGATTAAGCCATGCAAAAAATGGAGAGAAGTCAATAACCAATAACCCAAAGCCGTGCTTGGTAAATACATTTTTGCCACTAAGCATATTATTAACAGAATATTGAAGTAAAAGCAGGCATTAAAAGAAGGCATCACATTTATCAAGTGAAGTTAATAAAGCCAATATCGAGATACCCAATACTGTATAGTTTAGCATGCTTTTTCAGTGGACAGAAATATAATGAATTATATTTCATGAACCTGTTCGTTTTCTAAATCTGCCCTTGTCTAAAAGCTCAAAAATATTAATGTCTTGTAAAATAAGATTAAAAGAATCATGCAAGAATTAAGAAGAAAAAAAGACCTGCTATAAATTTTGAATGAGATAAAAGGATATTTTAGATTCTGTAAGCAAACTATACCAAATTAAATATGTGGTAACCAGAGCATTCCCTCAGAAGATAATCATTACACCGATGTAAATTGGGTTCTGGAAACACGATTACAGCCGAGTAATCTGGAGTGTCACTGAAGCATAGGACAGGCTAATTAGTGCTTACCTCTGACAAAGGAGGCCGACTCGTCCCAGGAACGGCTGGAATTTTCTGTGCGGTCGTCGTCATATTCATCCTGTTGTTAGGATAAAATTACAACAATTTATAATGAAATGTATATTACAGTGGTATATATTACAATGGTCCCATATGATGGAACTTAATCCACACCACTGGACTCCCAAGGTACAAGCACTACTGACTGGGAGGTCAAAGGATATGGGTTTGATCTCATCATACAGCCTCAATATGTTCCAATAGATCTATACTGTTCTTGTGATCTTATTGTGCACAATCAATTATATTTCCGAACTATCCTTCAGGTAAGATCGATGCTTTTCATAGGATATGATCATGAACAATCAGGCAGATTGACATTCCAATAACCATGGGAAATCTTTCAGATAGCACTTGGAGAGAAAAAATGTCAACAAAATGGGTAATTAAAAGTGCAAATCACAAAATCATGTCAATGATTTTGAACTGACATGATATGGTGTCAATCATTGAAAGCTTCTTTGTTTAGTGCCTTCATTAATACTTGGCCGTCACTTCTTGGACCTCACCACCCGCCCCCACCTCCTCGATGACACCACTCATCATCACCTCCCCGACCTCACCACTCATCTGCACCTTCCTGACCTCACCCCCAATAAATGCTAAATATATTTAATATGATCTTAATGTTAATAATGACTAGCCATATTTAAATTGATGTAGAATTTACCCGATGATCATCATCTTCCTCCTGCTGCACCTCAGGCACATAGAAGTCATCTTGGCGAGCAAGGGGGCCAATGAAGATGATCTCTGACTTCTCATTGTCATATACCTCTAGGAATGGACGAGCACATAAACTACGCATTTCTGAAAACAAGAATTTGTCTTATATTAAACATACCTGGCACACAACCCAGATACTGTACTACAGTTAATTGCTAACAAAACAGGACAAAAATCAATTACAAAGGATGACTTAGGGAGGATACCCTATTGTCTACCTACAATATATTTCATTATACACATGCTTTATTGAACTGGAAATATAAGAAACAAAAAAGCTACCAAACAGTGCAAATACATTGTAGATTCCTAATACTGTACTGTACAGATACAATTATATACCAAGTACAGTGTTTAAAGAAATTAGCTAAATGAGCTAAATAAATAAAATTATAAATTAATTTAAAATGTGTAATCCCAGGAGGACAGAAATTTGAAATGTTCATTATTAATAATAAATTATGATAAATTGATGAAAATATGTTGAGATAAGAAAAAAGAAAAAGTCCAATGGCTAAAAACTTGCCCTATAACACAAGAAAATAAAGTGCAAGTCCTCAATGTCACAACCTCTTTATACAAGAATGCATCAACTCTTATTAACAAACCAACGTATTCACGGAGAGCAGGATACACTTTCATGATGGCCACAATGATGGAAATGGTACTGGTGAATGGGAAGGTTGTTTGGACTGCATGATCAATGGCTGGGAATGTAGCAAACTGGTAACCATGCTCTTCCAATAGCTCACGATGCTCAGGTACCACATTGCTGCCATTTTCCGAGAGGATGACACCCACAATGTAGCGTAGCTTGTGTGACTGCCTCTAAAATAAAAATGCACCATTTGTAGCAATATATATATAAAACAATGTTAATAACATATAAACAGTACTTGCATATCCATCTTGGAAACCACAATGAATGAAAGTCATCTGTGATCTTTGGCCACAGCGAGTGCTGTCTGGTGTTAGGTTAAAGTCTCCGACTACTAACATTTTTGTACAGTCTGCCATGGTGTGTTGGTCATAGTACTCGACATGTTAGTGCGTTTGGAGCGCCTGGCTTTCTGACGGATGAGCACGTTTTCCAGATTAACTGACTTTTCACCAAAAGGTGAACATTTTCAAAAAATGTTTGTAACACAAACAACATAATTTAAATTTCCACACACTAATTAGTGTGTGCGGTTGGGTGAATGGGCAGGCAGGTGTGTGGGCAGGTAGGGATAGGTGGGTTCAGGCAGGCAGGTTTTGGATGGCAGGCAGATGTGCATGGTGGGTGGGTGGGTTCAGGCAGGTAGGTGGGCAGGTAGGTGGGCAGGTAGGTGGGCAGGTAGGTGAGCAGGCAGGCAGGTGAGCAGGCAGGTTGGTGGGTGGGCAGGCAGATGGGTTGGTGCGTGGGCAGGCAGGTGGGTTATGGTAAGTGGGTTATGGCAAGTGGGTGGTTGGGTGGGTGAGACAACATTTGGCAGACATACAGATATCATACATCTCTGTCCTGTTCACCCCCTTCCCCCACCACCACCTCACGCAAGCCCTTCCCAACCCACCCCCACAAGTGTCAACACGTGGGTGTTGACTTTTAACATATGCGCATTAAGTTCTGTTAACACTTTCACATTCCCGGCGTGAGCGCTCCAGCCTATCCCAAGGTGAGCCGAGCATTTAGCATGAGTAGGCAGCCACTCTAAAATGTACTGTATATACTTTTGTGTGTATTAATGTGTATACTCGTTTCAGTTTTCTTACCTCAATTTGCATTGAACATCGTTCATTTTGGTATCAAATTGTTTGCAATACCTTTCTCTAAAAGGATATATGCATATAAGGTCGAAAAGCCCAGTGTGCAACCCGCAGCAAATCCAGAAATCGGCTGAGCATTACCCGTGAGCGTTATACACAAATTCTACATACTCTGTTCAGTTTTCTCGCCTCAATTGTAATGCTACGTCGTTCATTCTGGTATCAAATTGTTTGCAATCTACAGGCGCATATTTTTAAACTAATCCCCATAATAATCGAACAAGAAATGGAATTTTAACAAATATTTTAATTTTGGACACAACATGCGTCCCTGCCAGACATCTGTAAGGTTATTAAAATCCATTTTATTTTCTTGTAAATATTTAAATGAATAAATAACCAACCAAATACTGTACTGCTCAAATATTATAGTGTGTTATTTAATATTCGTAACTAGCTCTCCATGGCAATAAGAAAACAATATATTAAACAACTGTTGCACCACCTTGAACTGCCACCCTCCCCATGGTAGAGTTAACGCCAGTCATCTGGCACATACACTCAACATGTGCTACCTCCCTCCCTCCCTTCCTGACTCCCTCCCTCCCTCCCTTCCTGACTCTCTCCCTCCCTTCCTGACTCTCTCCCTCCCTTCCTTCCTGACTCTCTCCCTCCCTTCCTTCCTGACTCTCTCCCTCCCTTCCTTCCTGACTCTCTCCCTCCTTTCCTTCCTGACTCTCTCCCTCCCTTCCTTCCTGACTCTCTCCCTCCCTTCCTTCCTTCCTTCCTGACTCCCTCTCTCCCTTCCTGACTCACTCCCTCCCTTCCTTCCTTCCTGACTCCCTCTCTCCCTTCCTGACTCACTCCCTCCCTTCCTTCCTGACTTCCTCCTTCCCTTCCTTCCTGACTCCCTCCCTCCCTCCCTCCCTCCCTCCCTTCCTGACTCACTCCCCCTCTCCCTTCCTTATTGATTGACTCCCTCCCTCACTTCCTGACTGACTTCCTCCCTCCCTTCCTTCCTGACTCCCTCCCGTCCTGACTCACTCACATCCCTTCCTGACTCCCTCACTCCCTCCCTCCCTGACTCACTCACATCCCTTCCTGACTCCCTCACTCCCTCCCTCCCTTACTGATTCCCTCACTTCCTCCCTCCCTGACTGACTGACTCCCTTCCTCCCTGACTGACTGACTCCCTCCCTCCCTCCCTGACTGACTGACTGACTCCCTCCCTCCCTGACTGACTGACTCCCTCCCTCCCTGACTGACTGACTCCCTCCCTCCCTCCCTGACTGACTGACTCCCTCCCTCTCTCCCTGACTGACTGACTCCCTCCCTCCCTCCCTGACTGACTCCCTCCCTTCCTGACTGACTCCCTTCCTCCCTCCCTTCCTGATGGTGGTGAACAATGCATGTTAGGCCAGGCATTTCACTTGCTTATCTCTCAGTGGTAAAGGTTTACATTTTATATTCATAGCAAGTTGACCCTTGGTTTTGGAGAAATTTAGGCTTCAAACTTTCTATCAGTATACTGTATGCTGATCTGGCCAAATATCTGCTAGTCCTGCTTCTATGGACATTTTGGCCAGATGGGGAAATAACTTGACCCAGTCACGATTTTTGTCAGATTAGGGCGTTTTCCGGATCATCGGGTCTCGTATTATTGAGCTTCTACAGTATAAATATATGGATCTTGATATCTGTGAGAGTTATGCTCCTGCCAAGTCCCTTAAATAATGAATTCACAAGTATAAAAGTAAAGATAATATGCACCTTTTACTTCAACAAAACACCTTTAACACTACTAATACATATTCTTACCACTTTCAAGCCACAAATATATCTTGTATTCAAATGCAAAAATTGTAATGCACTGTATACTCAATAGTACAAAATTTTCCTGGTTAGTTACAAAGCATTACACACAAGTGGCCATCAAATATACCTGTGTTATTTGGAAGGGGTTAGCCCTGAAAGGCTCATAAAAAGGTGAATGATTATCTATCCTAATAAAAGTTAAACATGGAAATCTTAATTCTAACTTAACGGTAAAGACCAAGGCTATGACATAATATAAATCATTCTGTCAAGGGAACAGGCAACCCAGTGTATATATATACAGTATAGTAATACTGTATATATATATATATATATATATATATATATATATATATATATATATATATATATATATATATATATATATATATATATATATATATATATATATATATATATATATATATATATATATATATATATATATATATATATATATATACACACGTATTAGGCTTATAGCGAGGTCCTGCCCCCAAGGTCGAGCTACTGACCCTCCATCCCCAAGAGGGCAAGTCATAACAGCTGCCTAACTACCAGGCACCTATTTACTACTAGGTGAACAGTTAATAATAGGTGAAAGGACATATGACCAACAATTTCTGTCCCATCCCAGGGATCGAACCCAGGATCCATCAGTGTGAGTAAACATTGTAGACCACTGTACTACAGGATCCACACTGGTACTGTACTACCCATACTGCCTACAACAAAAAGCAAGATAAAATTGCAAACAGCAAGGATACAGATATTGAACATTTGTTTTGAGGAAGTAAGGCCTTACCCATTGGTACCAAACAAATTTCCTTACCATCTTGGGGTCGTCATAGTAAACTCCAATGGTACGATACTCAGGTAGAAGTGTATGAACTTGGGTGAATAATGCTCCTGATTCTTTGTATGGACCACGGGCAAATTTGTAGGCAATATGGACCTCACCAATGTCAGGTCTAAAAATAGAAAGACATGAAATTTTATACAGGGCACCATCTTTTATTTTATTTTAGAGCATTGTAAATATGAAACCATATAATTTTTTTAATGAAAAAGTAAGACATTTATCAGTCTTTTATCAGTGCTAGGCAACTTTCCTTATATAGAATTTATTTACATGAAACTAAGTAAAAGAGTAAATCTCAAAAGAATTTGAATAATCTACACTTGGTTATAGTGAAATAAAGATTTGTTATCACTTGTGTGAAATAACCAATGAGTGAAAGGGCTCAAATAGCAAGAGTTGAGCACTGTGGTATCATAAGATAATTATCAGGAGAAACTGCTACTGCAGTATGACTACATAGAACTTGAGAGGGTTATGAGAATAAAGGGCTGGGATTAGGCAGAGAAAAGGAATGGTGTCCAATCAATTGGACGATCAGGAATTGAATGCCGATACACAAGAAATGAGCCTCCACTGTACTGACCGGTCCAAGTGGATGGAGTTGAGCATTAGGCTTTGTTGCCAAGTGAACTAGTGAGTAAGAGGCTGCTCAGTCTTATTACTTTTGTAATTTAGTTTGTAGAGTTTTGTTAATAGGTATAATATAATAATTAAAGACTAAAAACACTTTAGTAATTAAATAATTGTACTAACTTGCAAGCTTTCACTTCAACAGGGATGAAGAGTCCAGAATGGACAAGGAGACCAATAACTGTTGCAACGGCAAGTACAATCAGTATTAGAAACCCCCAGAGCAGAGCCGTCTCAGTCTCCATCCTTGTTCACTGCTGTTGCCCCGTGACTAGGTGAGTGTCTTGGGACGAAAAAACTCGCTCCTTCTTAATGTGGGTTTCAGAAGGACAAGAAACGACTATAAATGCTTCGAAGTGGATTAGTTTTTAGCGTGGGTTGCGTGCGTGCGTGTGATGCTTGCGTGAGTGTTCGTCTGCTCTTGTTATTGTTGTGTGTTATCAGCTGACTGCTGTTCACCACCCACCCCCAAAGACAGGAATTTTTTATATGTAAAATTCATATTATAAATTTCAAGTTAAGGACTTTTATCAACATATTGTTTAGCATAAACATATGAAGTGGCTATATTTTAATAATATATATACAATGTATAGAAATAACAATATTAGTTAGGGATAAAATATACAGGCAACATTTATGTTAATTATACTAGATGATTAAAATTATTTATCTGAGTTCTTTGTTTAATTAATGTCAGTATGAAAGTTCATACCACTTTTATGTTTTTATAATGCAGTACAATTTGGTATCGTGTGCTCATTAATAAATCTCAAAAATAGTAGCTAAAATTCCTGAATTTCTTGGCGAGAGTACAATGGAGGCTTCCTCAAAAGACTGAGCCAGCGCCTCTGTCAACAACAACAACACCTCGAGGGAGGCAGACCATTAGTGTTGTTGTTGCTGTGGATGACAGGTGGTTGCCACGCCATTAAGTATTCACACACCGTCCACAGATACAAGCTCTTGTGTTATTATCATGTGCAGGTGTTATCTTGAACGAGAGGAGAGTTGTGGGGCGTGGGCCCAGCAGCAGCAGACAGTGAGAGCCACACCACGCTCTTGTGTCTGTCATAGACACTCTGGAGGCTCTATGGGTTTATAACTCTATGGGTGACAGAGCATCTGGTCTACATTGTGGCTTGTTCAGCTTGAAGTCGTTGCCCCTTGTATGTGTTACATTTGACCTTATGAAGTAGTGGTCTAGATTAATATCCTCCAAATTGTTGAGTATAATTGATAATAATTCATTGGGCCAAGGGTCAGGCAGCCAGTGTATATATACATGTTTGGCTTATACTGAAGCCCTCCCCCCAAAGTCAAACTACTGACTCTCCTCAGGATGCAACCCCATAACAAACTGACTAACTCCTGAGTACCTGTGAACTGATAGGTGAACATAGGCATTAGGGAATAACGTGCCCAACTATTTCTGTTTTGCCTGGGATTTGAACCCAGAATTCCTGATTGTAAGTCAAGAATGAACCTGACTGTACTACTGGGTCTTGATGAGATCACCCATGTTGTATCTGGTGTACAGTGTTGCTAGTTCTGTGGCTCTCAACCATTCCTGTTATGAAAGTTGACTTGGTTCTGGGATTGTTTTTGTCTCCTGGTGTTGAATACAGTATTCTCCAAAGTAAATATGTCCTTTTGAAGGTGTGGTCTCCATTTTGGGATTCAGAACTCCAAATGGCAATACAGTATTTCTTATGCTTGCTGGGAGTGAATTGAATGAACTGGCTTTTCTCCCCATGACCTTAGTGTGTACTTGCACTGCCATCTGGTGGTGGCTAGTGTTTTTAGTTTGTAGTTGTTCAGTTTTCAATAGGTTCAGAGAGGAGTCTTGGCAATTTTGTAATCTTGATGCTTTAGTTTGAGAGAGTTTTGAGTGATTTACAGGGGTTGTGTGTTATAGCCTTTGTTTATTTCATTGGTGTGATAAGCTATTCTCTTCACTGAGCTCCCTACCCAGTCTGTGCTGGTCAAGACCTGAAAATTATCATGGGTGAAGTGTGAATTGCTCAGATGCAGAATGTATCTGTTCTCACAAGTTTGGCACTCAGAAAGAGGATTTAATTTAACTGAACTCTATTTATTCAAGCTTATTGCAAAATTGGATACCTTTGTTCCTAAGTGGTTACATAAAAGTATTTAGTGATGTGTATTTTGACATTGATTTGGCCTGGTTGGTACAGCGATGGCCTTGTATGGTACAGGGTCGACGTTCAATCCACATTGGTCCAAGTTGTTGGGCACTGTTCCTTCATCCCATCCTCATAACCCAGATCCTTGTCCTCGTATCCATTCCAATTACTGTACATTATAATCACACCAATTGCCTTACCTCGTGTATTTGATTTCAGGAAAGGTGCTGTATTAATCATCAGACATGTTGACCATCAACTTGTATGGTGATTCCCCACCATTGATATTACCCCAAGACTCGGATCAAACTGTGGAGGAGGTTGTAATTGCTGCTGCTCGTGTGCTGCAAATTAATCCTCTTTGTCGTCATTTATTTGGGCTGCGAAATGCTACTAGTTCTTTGTGGGTTGGACTGTCAAGAAAAATTTCAACTCTGCCTCAACATAGCAATTTGCAATTTCGACTGCGATTCAAAGCCCATTCCCTCGAAAGACTGAAGTCTTTGGACCCAAATGCATTTGAATATTTCTTTCATCAAGTAAGTATACTGTACAGTACTGTACAGTATTTATTTGCCTTTAAATAGGCAAACTTGTCAATAGGAACCCTAGTATAGTATTTTGTATTGTATCAGTCAAAACAGGAAAAGAAAATTGAAAATATTAAAAAATGGCAAATTCAAAATTCAAATATTTATTCAGGTAAATAAGACTGTAAGACATACAGTGGAACCTCGGTTACCGAATGTCCCTCTTTACAAATTTTTCAGGTTACGAACTCAATTGCTTCATAAAATTTGAATCGGTTTACGAACTTTGCCTCGCTTTGCGAGTTTGTTGATACACATATGGGTCGACCAAGCACGTGGTTCCTGGTGGCATGGGCGACCGTTAAGGTTCGTGTATATATACATGAATCTTAACGAACCTGGTCTGTATTATATAAATGCATTTTAAATAGGTTACCTGAAAAATAATGCATAAAATAATAAAGGGGAGATTAAAACTACCTTTCATGTTCAACTTCTGAGAGTAGATTTTACTATACATTATGATACTGTATTTAAGTATTTGGTACATTATAGTGTACAGAGAATCCGTAACTACTATCAGGTTATGTTCTGAAAGGGTGGTTTGTAAAGCATTTATTTGGACTGTGGAATGAGATTTTTCATAGGTGCAAAGTTATAAATGGGGGATGTGTTTCTGGACCACCAAAAGTCCTCACAAAACCAACTTTTTGGGATGTATAATGTAAAAAAATGCAGCATATTATTTATCTTGAATGATGGAATTAGCAGTCTATGAACAGTGAAGAGGTCTAATTACATAAATAACTAAAAATAGCTGTATAATGTATTGGGAGTCAACCATTTGTAATTTGTAACATGAGTAAACACTTCCCGGCCTCCTTCCATCACCAACCCATGGACCCCAACCTACCAACAAAGTAAACACAATGTGGCCTTATTCAAATCATGTGAGTTGGTGGGTCACTGAAGACTTCCGAGTGCTGCCACACAACATTGTCATTTTCCCAGAAACATCACTCACGAAGAATCCTCACCACCTCACTCCTGACACCCACCACCACCCCCACTCTTGACACCCACTACCCCTACTCCTGACACCCACCACCACCCCACTCCTGACACCCACCACCACCCCACTCCTGACACCCACCACCACCCCACTCCTGACCCCCACCACCACCCCACTCCTGGCACCCACCACCACCCCACTCCTGGCACCCACCACCACCCCACTCCTGGCACCCACCACCACCCCACTCCTGGCACCCACCACCACCCCACTCCTGGCACCCACCACCACCCCACTCCTGGCACCCACCACCACCCCACTCCTGACACCCACCACTCAGTGGGAATTTATTCAAATGCAGTGTACTTCAGTCCTGCTGAAGAAATAGCCCCTCACATTGCTGCTGTTGATTGATACCAAGAGCTGTAGTGTTAGGTTTAATAGTGTCCCTCAGGCAATTAAAAAATTATTTACCTCCATTATTTTCTCGAGCATTGGTGATTCTTGGACTTTATGTATACCAGGAGCTACAAAAATTTATTGTTGTGCCCTTACTACACAGTTATTAGAGAAAATATTGAGGCCATACGATTGAATCCACATCTCTGGACTTCACAGGCGCACATACTACCAACCGAGCCATGATGTGCTCGTGGGTTCGATCTCATTGTTTGGCCTCAACATTTTCTTATTTCATTGTGCTCCTCTAATTCAATGTGGAATATATATCCTTAACATAAGTCACAGATTACAAGTTTGTTAAATTAAATTAATTTTTCTTGTAAGATTGCAATTATCATTGTGGAACTCATAAATTCATAGTTTTCTTTTAAATGTCACTCTTGTTTCTGAATGTTATTGATCAGGTACGGGCAGATTTCCTGGCTAGTGAGATCCCGCAGCTTCTTAAACATCCTGAAGATGGCTTGGGATTAGTCGTAACAGACATTCTTCTCTATCTGCTGAACAATCCTGGTACCTATTTTGTCTATATATTTAGTTTTATATTTAATTATGTTTGTAAATTCTAGAATATTAAAATATAAGTTACAGCATTTTCTGGTACATATAAAATGTACCAAATTTACAAGGATATTTTTCGGATTATTATTTTTTTGATTATGTTTCATCATATATTTATTGAAAGTAACTTTCAAATGGTTTTGTAGGGGAAAATATATGATTTTGTTCATGTCAATACTGTATATATATTTTCGGTTGGTGGTGGGCCAAAGATGTGCATCCTATCTGCCGACATATATTGGTACATTTTTTAATCTTTTTATTCAAGGAAATTTAATTAGCTAGTTTAGCTTGTGTTTTGGCAATTCACAAATTGTGTCTAGCCTAAACTAGACCTGTATCTTTGAAAATCGCTCGTGAATGCATGGATGGGGACACGCTAAAGAAATTATTCACGACATTCATGAAACTGAAAATAGAGAATGTAGCAGTGTTATGGTCCATATCTAAAAAAAATCACAGGAACAAAATAGAAAAGGTGCAAAGACATGCTACCAGATGGCTTCCAGACCTAAAAAGAGCAAGAACTATGAAGAATGATGAAGTACAGTATCAAAAAGGCCAAAGCTGGTACTGTAGATAAAAGTAAAAGAGGAGATAGGATGACAATATACACAATTTTGACAAGAATCAACAAAGTTGATAGGATTTTTAAAAACTTGCAATGTCTAGAACAAGAGGCCAGACATTCAAGCTTAGAAAGCAAAGGTGCTGAAAAGATGTCCGAAAAATATACAGTATCAAAGTTTTACGAACAGAGTTGTAGAAGGTTGAAACAATGAGAGTGAGAACATGGTGGATGCCAAAACAAGCAGTAGTTTCTTAGCATCATGTGACACCACACTTAGGTAATTAAATCCATACAGTCAGTAGGTTTAGTTTGTTTATTATCATTACTGTATTGTAATTACATGCATACAGTCAGTAGGTTTAGTTTGTTTATCATCATTACTGTATTGTAATTACATGCATACAGTCAGTAGGTTTAGTTTGTTTATCATCATTACTGTATTGTAATTACATGCATACAGTCAGTAGGTTTAGTTTGTTTATCATCATTACTGTATTGTAATTACATGCATACAGTCAGTAGGTTTAGTTTGTTTATTATCATTACTGTATTTCTTTAAAAAATTAAGGTTAATCAGAAAGGTAGGCCTACGCCTGAGGCCAACTGTGCATAATCTTGTCAAATGGACATGGCAGGACTTACTGTAGAAAGCAGCTGATTATCCTGCTCCTGGAATTGCATTTACACTACTCTTAGTATATCTATTTCACCACATTAGTTTGCGGTCAGTATTGTTTGCCTACACTAATAGATATTTTAACATGAATAGTAATAAATTAATAATGGAGACAATTTGTGTAATTATTTATAATTTTTTCTTCAGGTAAGAAGGTGGGTGACATAGATCTTAAAAGCTTCATACCAAAAGAGCTTAATGGAATAGCAAACAGATTAAATGTAAAGAGAAATGCTGAGAAATTAGTGGAGACGTGTCTGAAGAAGGATGCTGCATACGTTCGTGAACGCTACCTCTACAAGGTAAAAAAGGATGAAATTTGAATGACGTGGCCCCTAAAGCTGCATATATTGATTAGTACAGTATTGTAAAGCAAACAGAATCATTGAAATGCTGCTTGAAGAGTGTAACATTTTATTCATCAGCTTCAGTAGGGTAATTTGTATAAAAATTTATATAGCCTGCAGTTCATTAAAGAAATCATAGGTTGTGAAAATACTATATTTCATATTAAAATGTGCTTGCCATCAATCTTCTGATTTTTTCATCAGTATTATGTTGAATTAACGATAATGTTAAAATCTTGTGCACTAGGAATGAGATTCTACACACAAGGAAAATGCTATTGTTCAGTGTGTGATAATTACTGTATGTATTATTCTCTCCTTTCTTGTAAGACTCTCCTACCTTTTTAAGTATACAGTAATATAATGCATGTGATATGTATTTTTGTGATTTTTAATGTATGATAAATATTCCCCAGGTTGAAGAGAGTCAGTGTAGCTATGGAAGTGAAGAATATGTCTTACAGCAAGATGAAGCTGGAACTGCCCTCCATATTAAGCTAAGCATCGACCCTTACCACCCAGACCAGCCGGGTCTACGTTACTGTTATGCAGCACAGAAAAAAGGGGTGAGTGTTTTTATTTAAATTATTATGAACTAGTTTATACAGAAATAAGTCATAACATGGCTGAAACAAATAATCCAACCATCACTTGTGAAAAAAAAGTGACATTGTTTTACTGTACCCTCGCCAAGTCCTTTTTTCCATGTCTATTTCCTTTCCTTCTGTGTTTAGTGTCTGTTAGGCCTTCTGCAGTTGCCTTTGCAGTTGCCACAATCGACTTGATAATGGTCCAGGACGGACCAAAATGTCGTGATCTCCTCAATTTCTAGTGTCTGGTTTGGTCAACATTTTTCACCCACGTTATTGTGACATTTCATCTGCTTTGGCCTTTATTCTTATGTTCGGTTTCCGTGCTTTACTTCTCTACTGTCTCCCTCGCCACCTCTCCCCTCACCATACTCTCTTGGCTTATATTGCTACTCCTTTTCATTCCTGCTATATTGTGACTTGATAAGGATCTGGAGTTATTTATAACATGTTTATAATTAATGTTGAATCTCATAATTTATTCTTTTCAGAGCACTGAACCATTCATCCTAATGCTGTAGGTTGTCAATATTTTGTTAAATAAATTGTAATTTATAAAAAATCACTAATATAAAAGACAAAATTGGGCATTGAGGACATTGAAACACTACAGTACAGTATTTTCAGAATAGTCTTTCAGTTGCTTCCTCGAGCCATATACCCATGTGGGCCAACACTCCTTGATTGTTGTTCCTGTGTTGTTGATCCTGTCATATTGACAGGATCATTAGCAAAGTTCCCTGTCACTGTGAGGAAGTCTGATGTGTTTTGTGTTCATATGGATACATGTCTCGGGTATGAACCAGGGATGGGGGGGGGGCAGCTCAGATACTGGTACAGTACTGTATATCTAAATATAAACAAAATCATTATCTTTTTTCATTTGGGTAAAATATGATTTTAAACTGTGACAAAACAAACAAATTTATGATAGCATATTCTCATTACAAGGCATGGACACATCTCTGCCGCTTGGATGATTTGGTATTCGTATCAATCCGCTCCCAGGATTTGACGGCAGAAGTTTCAAGAAAGACAGGAGTGCCTTGCTACTTTAAGCTGCAGACAATTGATGCACTGGAATCTTTCGTTGGCTGCTTGAGTGGGTATGGTATTACTCCTGATTTTGTAAAGTAACATTACTTGTGTTTTTTTTTTTAGATATTATCATCAATTCATTTCATACTTTTATGGGGTAGTAAGGCATTTGCATGGAGAAAGAAGAGTAATACAGTAATGTATAGGAAAGATGATTATATATATATAAGTGCATAATGAAATCACAATAGTGTGATTACAAAAAAAAATCTTTGGAACAGTGAGATGAACTCTAGTCCCGGATCTCTCCATATGTCTGCACTACCCACTAGTGCAGATGCAATACTGTACTAGTATGCAGTACCCACTAGAACACAATTTACAAGCTGTTCATGCCCGTGCCACCTCTTGGGGGAGCTTAATCTATCAATCAATCTAGAACACAATGTGTGGTGACCCAGAATGTGAGTGATTCCATCACACTGTTCCAAACATTTTTTCATATTATGTGAGTCTGTCTTTCCTTCCTAGAACCCAAGCAGGTGTAAGCTGGAGGTCTTGAGGCTCCTTTTGAGCTACTCTACTTGGTTGCTGTTACATGTTTCTCCTGATTGCTAGACTTCGGGGAACAGGGATCCTAGCAGCATCCCACACAACCTCTCCCCAGCATCCCTGAGGGGGTGATGGAATAGAATGTGGAACTCCACTGATGGACCTCTGTAACCAGCTATTTCACACTCTGCCATCTTCTCGTGTTCACAGTGCGTCTTCTTCCTCAGCAAGCCATCTATAACTCTTCATTTTGGGTAAATGAGCTCACTCACCCAGCGCACACTATATACTCTGCTTTACTCACCCCTGTTGCACCTTGTGCAACCACACTAGCATAAAAAGGGGAAGCTAGGATACCCCTTCCTGTAGGCATAGTAATCCACCTCGGCCATGGCACCACACTGACAGTCTCATTGCAGGATCTCTCAAATGTTCTGGACAATCAGCCTCTGTGGGGTTAATTAATAAATAACACTGGAAGGAGGGACCAGAAACACAAATATTCATAAGAAGTAATATAATTATAGAAAAAATTACACGTTTCATTAGTAGCCTGGCCTCAAAGTTGAATTTAAATGGCTCAATACTCATTAGGCTACATTTGGTGCTTTGAATTCAAATTCTTAGGTTAAACACAAGCACTTCTCGAACGTCAAAAAAGAAATTAAAAGCTAAAAATTCTAAATCAAAATTAATAAGGCTCGCTTTACTTGGCAAATACTTAAAAATCAACAGCAAATGAATCGGTATCACTATCCCTTGCTAGACATCTCAGAAATAATGCAACAATAACCATAACCTTTGCCCGAAACGCTATGCGTACTAGTGGCTTTAGGTATTGTATGTAATACCTCTATCTGTAAATCAAACAGAATGTTTATACTGTAACTCTGCAACTATGTATGTACTTTTCCTAAATAAATTATTATTATTATTATTATTATTATTATTATTATTATTATTATTATTATTGTTATAAGCAAAAATAATCATTTATGTCAATGAACACAATATAATATGCACCATTCCTAAATTGTTACTTGGAACAATACTAATTCAAGGGGAATAGGGAGAGAAACTTTACTTAACCAAACATATCCTTGGCGCAGGTCAGCTGGCTGTCCGTGGTGCCCTTCATGCCTTGAAGTGCTGTGATGGTGCACAGAAAACGTAGCTGCTTTTGACGCTCACACGAATGTCTCCCAGGTGTAATAGGCTATCACACTGCTTTACTACTAGTCTTAATGTCTTTCACTGGGTAATTAAAGTCAGGTTTGCTCTTGCATACAACAATTTCACTGCACTCTTTACCTCAGCAATATCAGACCTGGGCAGAGATTGTCCTTGAGAAATGTGGTACACTACACTCAAAAGTAAATTGAAGAGTGGCCCCTCACACAGGTCCTCTACACAATGGAGTCCGCTCAGCTGAGAGTCTGACGTCATTCCTTGTTGTGTGGGGGACTTATTCCCATTGCAGGTAATATGAAAGGTAAAATTACTTCAATTACTATAAATCTTTTGGCTAATAATATAGCACTTTTTCTGTGCTATCCTAGCAGGTGCCTTCCTACCCAAGGTCTCTAAATAATTTAGGTTTTTATTAGTTGTTTAGTATATAATTGTGTCATTGACTTGAACATTCCATTAACCTATTATGTTCATTTAGTAATGTCGTTTTGTTTGTGTAGGTACTACCGATTGATGTGTACGTGGACTTTCGACCTGTGCCGAGAGCTGCCAACGCCATCTCTTGTTTTCTTGCGTACCAATAAATGTCATGGACCCGTTGGGTAAGGTTCACGATGACTGATTATATTTGAATTGTTGTCTGGGTAGTGAACACAGTATATTTGTAGAATAGACAAGAACACAAAGAAACTTCAGTGAGTGAGTGGACAGTAGTACTGTACTAGAAAATGGAATTCTCTTGTAAGTATTATTCTTTCATGCATTATTACTTATTATTATTATTTTAGTTAATATTGCAAATCACAGTTTTTTATTCAGTTTTTTTATATTAAACTGTCATCTGAGGACCACATAAAAAACATTGTGTGAGGAGAGGAAAAGGTGATATTATCACTACGTACTAAATAGCAGCAGAAATCGATAAAATTGACAAGGAAGAATTTTGAAACCTGCAACTTAAAAAACAAGAGGACATAAGTTCAAACCTAGAAAACAATCTGTTGAAAGAGCATAGTATAAAGTTTACTTCTGTAAGCAAGTGGTAGACAGATGCAAAAAAGTTAAGAAAGAAGGTTGTGGACGCCTAAACCGTGGGTAGTCTCAAAGCGTCATATGGCAGGGTAAAAGAATACTGGGAAGACAGAACACCACGAGCATAACTTTCATTGTGTAACTACACTTAGGTATTTACACTTTCATTATTACATTGCATAACATATTCTCAAATTGGCACCATTTGTTCAACATATTACAGTATAAAGCTCAATTTGTAATTTTTCAGCACAGTACTTTAGGTTTAGTGAATACTTGTCTGAATATGAAATCTGCCATATTTCTTCAGGGCATTATAGCCTACTAATTTGTAGCCTACGACTATTTGTATTTGTTTTTGATTTTGTAACCGAAAAAATAGTATTTGCTAACATGATTTATCTACATTGGTAAGCAATTCAATAGGTCTGCCCATTGTATAGCAAATATGGTATTTATTTATTTATTTACTGTATAATAATTTGTATAATAATTAATTCATATATATATAAGTAGATACAATGGGTTGTGAAAGTAAATTTGTTAGTGATTAAATGGTACATTCTTGCAAAGCCACTAATGTACATAGTGTGTTATTGGTTCTAGCTTAAATAAAGCTTTGCTGAAAAAGGATAATGGTGACCTGTTTTACTATACATTTATCAGGGAAAACCCTTATGTTGCAGGAGTGCATTTGCCGCCCAAAAACTTCAAGACAAAGGAGGGGGTGAAGTTGGTGTTGCATTGTTGCGGGAATCCTCTACCGACTACGACACTTATTATATGGACATAGTGGAGGAAGCTAGTAAATCACAAGTATCTTATACGATTTTGAAAGAAGGAAACAAGGTTAGTATTTTACAGTGTGTTGATATTATTTTGTATAAAATCCATTTATTTGGAAAGGCTGTTTTAGGAACCCTACATTGATCACATAGGGTGCAGCATCATAAGATTAATAGCTTAATTCTCTAGAATATATATTAGTGTTAAAAATAATAATTAAAAAGATTACAGAATTTATATAAATTGTATCTTATAAGTGTTTAAAAATGTCAATGTTGTCCATTTTGATAATAAAACCATGGGTTTTAATTTTAGGGAAGGCCTCTAATAAGCATTATATGTAATATATAACCCACCCTCCACACACAAAATGAAATGAAAATGACAAAGTTTCAATTCATTCTGGACACTTATGAGGTCAATGCAGGTCCAGAATGGACTGGAACATCGTCCTATTCATTTAATTTCTTGTGTGTGTGGGTTGGGTTATTTGTCTCGGCCACATTAGTGTGACTTATTCTCTGCAATGCATGCAAATTTTGTATTTTAATTTGTCTCACTGATGTCATAAATAATAGTTATTTATAAACAAATTCATGGTATCATTACAATATAAATTGTATAAACAGATATTTATATTTTTTTATAAAGCAACTAATCACTTTCAGTACAGTGTTTTGGGAAAATGGTTGTAGCTAAATATTTGTTTAGTTAGTTTATTATGCACCCCGCACCTGTCATGTGAGCTGTAGAGGAACCAACCTAACTTATCAAGTCCAATGGTTAGAAAACGTTAATATTTTTGAGTCGTTACTTTTCTTAATATTATTGCATTTGCATTGCAATAACGTAAAAAACTGCAACCTAATAGTTGAGAGGATAGGTTGCATGCTGACCCCAGGCTGGCTCCCACAACATTCCTGGGAAAGCAGAGCATTGCTTAAGGGGGTGACTGAGTGGTTGCTCCTAATCTTAGCATAACCTGAGTCGAGTCTTATCCCAATTAATTAAAATTAACAGATTCTGCTCTTGTGCTTAATTTCTTAATTTACTTAGCTTTCAAGTAATGGACAGATTACTGAACACGCACACATTTTTCAGTTCCGTTTGAAAGATTCTGAAGTTCTATATGATAGCCTATCCAGTATGATGAAAGAATTTAAGATGTCTGCAAATCCTGCAATCAAATTTAGTCGAATTTTGCCAGCATCAGACTATGACAACTCTGTACAGCTTCTGCTGTGTGCTAGTCGTGATAAACATATTAAAATCAACAATGAAACAGGACCTAGGGTAAGTATTATCTTTTGAGCATTATCAAGTAGGACCTTGGGTAAGTATTATCTTTTGAGCATTATCAGGTAGGACCTAGGGTAAGTATTATCTTTTGAGCATTATCAGGTAGGACCTAGGGTAAGTATTATCTTTTGAGCATTATCAAGTAGGACCTAGGGTAAGTATTAGCTTTTTAGCATTATCAAATACAAAACAGGGTCAGTATTACCTCTTGCTCATTTTACCATGAATATAAATTTTTTGATTGTTCATGAGACGTGTTCACTTGTATTGATATTTCTGTAACTTGGGATAACCCTTAACATTAGGTCTGGTGCAGCTTTCTTAAGTTGTAAATCTTATATTTGAAGTTTAATTAAAGTTATATTTGAAGGGCTGCCACTGTAACATGTTCTCTGCTAAAAGTCTCTAATTCTTATAGTTTACTCCCCTTTACTAATACATGTACTAAATTAGATAATGAATTGAAATTTTGGTGATTAGTTAAAAGGGAACTCCAGTGCTTTTATATACAAATGATTTATATACATATAGTTTGCCATGGATGTTTCCTTCAAAGAGGGCGGGCATGACACTAGCCTCCAGGCAACTTAATCTAAACATAACAGCCTATTTTGTACTGTACTCCTTCAATGGTCATCATGCTCATATGTAATTCCCCAATTTCCATTTTCATGATATCCAATGGTACCTTCAGGGATTTTGGAATAGATTGGACAACCTAATTTGTTGTTTGACCTTGTAGGACAAAATTATGATATGTACTTCACAGCGTCGGGAACAGGAAGCCTGTACTTGGAGTCATATTGAGGTTTCCCCTCGGTCAAACTATTGACATTCCCCAGGATGCAACCCCATAATAGTTGCCTAACTCCCAGGTACCTGATTTCTGCTATGTGAGCAGTGGCCTGCTATGTCCTCGTTGAGAATTGAGCCACTTGTCATGGGAGTGGTTGGTCTCGCCTGCCTCTGCACACTGCTAGAAAGAGATGATGCAAGTGTTTGGAAGGGCTGAGTCATAAAACACCCAGGCATGTGTTCAGAAAATGTGTTCTTTTGTAACCCTTTGTGCTCATACACTAATGCTAGTCTTGGAACGTATTGATCGCACCACCTGTAAAGCAAGGTGGTATCCCGCTTTTGTTTAATTTTACCCAATAAAAGTATTAAAACATGACTAACTACCAGTATACTAATAACTGCACTTTTTTCTGTCCTTGATCTTAACCCAAGTGGCCACAATTGTACATAGAAAGTACATTTCATTTCCTCCATGCCAGTGTTGTACATTTAAGAAAAGCATGATTGTGGTAAAAGGCCTGACACTGTCATTCTTCTTAATCACCTGTGAGGAAGGGGGTTAATAAATCGGCTGACAAAAGGATCTGCCATATATTCTTCTGTTTCTTTATTCAGTAAATATGTATATTTTATATTTTCATAATCAAAATACCTCTGTTTTCCCTATCAGGTAATAAGTATGAATCACTTAACATCTGCGGAGGAAAATATATTTCGGGGAAGATTCAGTGACTTGATCCGGGCTCAGTGGACGGCACAGAACAACAAAGAAGTTGCTGTAAAGGTAAATAACATTTGTATTTCAAATGTTTGAATAATACACTTAAGGGGCCAGGAGACTGATTTCTCAACCTTCCTCAAACACTCAAACTTTTTGTGCATAATCTGTATGATAAATCTCCAACTTTTAATAATGCTTCAATATTATAACATGAACAGGAAAAACAAAAAATTATTTAAAAAAATTGAAAATTTCACAGTTTCAAATTAAGCCGACGAATTTAATATTTCATCAATTTTTGTTTTATACATTATGGGCTCAGAATGGCATATAACGTTCATTTTCCTCAATTTAAAATTGAGTTTGAGAGTATAGTTACTGTAAAAAAATAGTCACTTTGGCCTTCAAAATGTGTGCAAAATTTAGACGCATAAATTTGTAACTCCCAAAGTTATGGGTTAATGAATAAACACTATTGAAGAAACCTTAGAACTAAGAATTTTGCACATATGTAAAAATGGTTAGAACTGCTCAGAAACTTAATTTAACAGCTTGTCTCAAAATTGAAAATCCTGTTCCTGGAGAGAAATGAAGGTAAACTTCTTGACAATAAATATAGTAGTTTGAATTTGTCATATCTTGTAAGTTTTAATAAATATTGCTAGGCATTCATACTCGAATATGTGACAGTTGTAGGTCAATATGTATTGAAATAAAGTCAAGAAAAAAAAATCCCCTAAAAAACAAATAAAGGATAATGGATAATAAGTATACTTTAAATAAGTGATAAGGCCTACATCTGGTCTCCATTCTTCAATACAACCTAAAGACACAAAAAGAATAGAGTTTGAAATCTGTAAACTTTGAGTAACTGCTTCGTGAATCTGGCCCCTGGGAGCCGAGTTCTGGCCAGAGGAGATAGTCCAAAAATAGTAAGAGGAATCACTGACCCAAAACTCCAGCCAGTCACTGAACTTTAGATGGATTGGATCATGCCAATAGGCATCCGTGGAATTCTGGAAATTGAGCCAAGATTGTCGGAAAGTCATTTGGTAAACCACAGTTAGTGGTTATTTGGAAGGTGTAATTCATTTAAAGTTTCCTTGTGGCTTTTATCCAAATTTTTCTCTTATTGTACTACAACATTCAAAATTGCTTAGAAGATTTCTGTAATTGAATTTATTTGTATAACCTTTATTGAGCATGTATGCAGTCTTATAAAAAAAATTATAAAGTAAATAATGTTAATTGTAAGCTTTTAATCAGGTTTTTGCACAAGTTGTGACTTTATATGTGACAGTTTTATCCTGTTTTTCAGATGCCGAAACTCAAAAGTTCTCAGGATACCGAACGTTTCTTATCAATGTTGAATGAGTTTTCATTTGTGAACTGTGAGTGCATTGTTGACATACAAGGTGTGACGTTGAGCCCTTTGTCATTGGTGATGGAGTACTTGCCAATGGGGGCCCTAGATAAATACCTCCAGGCTCATAAGGCAAAGATGAAAGAGGTAAGAGAGAGAGAGAATCTTATTTGTCACTGCTAAATTCATTGAAAATTTTTAATTAATATTTATTTTTAAATATAATATTTTAGTTCAAACATTTTAGAAGTTATTTATGTTGTGTCTAGTGAGCCAGCTTTAACATTTAGAATAAAAGTGGTAACAGATGAAAATGTATGGTGCAGGTGGAGCTGGTGGAGGCAGCAACCTACTTGGCCCGAGCATTGTGGTACCTCAATGTGGAAGGCGTCCAACACAACAAAATTCGCTGTCACAACATTTTTGTAGCTGCGCATACTGACCGAACATTCAAGGTCAGTAGTCATGAGCCGTATGCCAGTAGAAACTCTTTGGATTAAATATCAGTTGCAGGTGGCAGGATATAGACTCCGAGAGGCGTAATTCGCATCTCAGATTATATATTCTTGGATTGCAGTCGAGGAACTTGGGTTCAATTCCCTGACAGGGCAGAAACAACTTGGCACATTTTTTTCACCTGATACCTCTGTTCATCTAGCAGTAAATAGGTTGCATTCTTGGGAATGCCTAGGGGCAACCTTAATAACCCAAAGCACATCATTCCTGTCCCCGACAATAAGAATTATTTAAACTGCAAATTTACTTTCTTCCTGGATTGTGTTCAGGGCTAAAGTATACTTGCTGGTTGGTCAGTAATCTATTGTGTTGGCTTAATACCCCCTCACATGGTCCTTAAGCCCAACAGTTGTGCATGATATGTTTGCCATGATAAATAACCTTTTGACTACAATTTCCAGATTGGTCCTCTTGTAACTGCTTAAATATTTTGATTGATTTAATAAATAAATGGTGGTATGTGAGCGAGTCCCTTGTTTGCTCCCATTTTATCTTGCCTTACCCAAGCATAGTCAGGTGGTCTCGGCAACAAATGAGTTGCCAGCTCGGCCAACCCTGTTGTGGTGGTATTGCTGCCATAAGGTGTCTTAATACACAGTTAGTATTACAGTACTGTATTTGAATTTTTGCTTGATAAAGGATAGTCGAGTCTAATATTAGTTTTTTATATTATAGCAATTTGGTGAATCATATGTTCAAGTTAGGATTCACTACTGCCTTTCCAAACTGCATGATTAGATTATTTGAAAAGCAGCTGGTCATGATGTGTGAATGAATTTTTAGAGCTCGGCAGGCAGAATGTGTCTGTGGATGAAGATTGGCCACTCACTCACTCATGAGAGCAATTAAAGGCCTGGATCAAACAAGAGAATTTCACTTCAATCGAGGGCCTATTTATCATCACTCTTGCATATCATTGTGAGTCCACAAAGTTTATTGTTATTTATTGTTCATTTTCAGGTTAAGCTTGGTGACCCAGGTTTGGTGAGGTATGACCAGCATGATCTACACTGGATTCCTCGTGAGCATCACTTCCAGCCTCCCTTGGCCCTCAGTGACAGTACCACCGACATCTGGGCATTTAGCACAACTGTCTGGCAGATATTCTCTCTTGGGGAAATGCCACTTCCAGGTACAGAAGCATATGTCATGCACATCTGTCTGTCAGTTTGTCTCACCATTAATGCTTTGATCCCTCTGGAATTTCCTCTTATTGAGTTGTCCTCATAATCCTATTGAAACATTTTTAAGTTATCAAGATACTGGAAAAAGCATTTGGAAATTTAGAGAATTTCACGCATCTGCCTCAGAGTAAAACTGCTGCTGCTTGCTGGCATTGGGAAGGAAGTACAGTACTTTGTAAATATTTCCTGTGTTAAGAAATGTAAGTGAGAGAAGGGCAAGAAAAAACGAGAAATTCAAAAGTGAAAAACAAGATGCATTCTGAAAAGGTGCAGAAGATGATTCACAATAACATGGCTGAAGATATGATGGCCAAACCACACACACACCAGAAGATGAAAAAATGATGATGTTTCGGTCCGTCCTGGACCATTATCCAGTCAGTTTTGAAGAAGATGAAGAAATTTGGAGTTTCTTCGTCTTCTGAAAAGGTGTTTGTGAGTTAACCATTCGTGAGAACGTATTCAGCAGCAGTTGCAACTAATATGGCTTTATCTGCAACTCTAATCTATATTATAAAATAAGGTTAAGTCCTTGGTTAAAGATGGGTTGTAAAATGTAATTTGTGTTTTTAGCTATGATAGAGTAAGGTATATATGTTTAAAATAAAGTTTATTATTTGCTGTTTTGTTTGTGTTTGTATAATGTGTTGATAATGGTTTAATTCAAGAAAACTTGTGTAACAGGAGCCGATATGGAGGAAGTTCGCAAGTTGTATGCAACTGGTTGCTTGCTGCCTCGGCCAGACCTATGTCCTCATGACCTTTATAAGGTTTGTCTTGTACTAGTGTCCATTGTCTCTTTATAATATAATGAGGGAGACATTCAGTTGTAGAGATTATCCATCATGAGACCAGATTCCATTAGGGAATAAAAAATTACCTTCTTACACTTGGCATGGATGGTCGGCAAGTGGAATTTATTGAAAGAAGTTGTGGAATTTGCTGCCATCCACAACTTTAAAAAAAAAATACATCACAGAACTTGAACGTAATAATAGGTAATAAATGGGCCAGGTATGTGATCTCTCTTCCCTAGGATTAGGGGAGAGATAAGGAAGCCCTAATATAACAAGATATTCTCAAGTTGTGTCCCAGTTTCTATACAGTATTTTGAATATAAACCACTTGCCTGGTTTTGTCCTAAATATTGAGTGTACTGTATAGTATAATATCAATTGGGGCTCTTCACAGAAATCTGAAGGACCATGTAAATGCTGATAGCTCGAATATCCTGTTTATTTGAAGTTTGTAAGAATTCTATATTAAATTTATCAATGTTTCTAGGTTATGTTGCGATGTTGGTCCCCAGATCCAAGTGCCAGACGTCAACCACAGGCCATCATGCGAGACGTCAACCAGATTCTCTACCAGGGTAGGTCATGGTTATTCTCGTATTGTTGATTTTGCTAATATACAGAACACAAGTCACTATAATGTGGCTGAAAATTTAGACACCTAATACATAAATCTGAAATTAAAGGACAGACTGAAATGTTTTCAGTACCTTTATTTTCAGATTTGTGAGTTGAGTGTATTTAATAGAGCATTTTGGTATCAACTTGTGGAGAATCATGCTATTTGCCCTTGTAAGTACATCACAAACATGGAGCATTTAAGAAAGCTTTTTTTTATTTATCAATGAACTAGATAATTATTTTAACATTAAATGGGAAAAATTGCATAAATTATAACTGCACTAAATGGGTTAAGAATTGGCCAGATGTATGTACTGAGAAGTAAAGAGTACTCTTAAGAAGCATCTTTATTACCTTATTGTAGTGGCCTCTACTGTATGACATCTCATACATGTACTGTATGTGCTTGAGTTTATCCCAAGTCCTTGTAGTGCCCCTGTTGTATGACTTCTTGTATATGTACTGTATGACCTTGCTTTATCCAAGTCCGCTCAATTTGATATCCATCCAAAATCGCATCCGGATAATTTTCTCGCAAAAAACTTTGTCATATCCAGGCAGAAATTTGGATATCTGGAGATTTGGTTGGATAATGCAGACTGGCATAGAGTAAGTCAAATCTGGATAATTTTCTGGCAAAACTTTGCCATATCCAGACAGAAATCCAGATAATTGGATATTAGGTTATGTAAATTTTCAAGAACTATACATTTTAAGATATTCAGTATCAATCAAGAAGACGAACTACATCCAGGTAAACAAACGTTTCTGTTTTAAATTGTACTGTATTTTTTATTTATTGTGAGTGGAAATTCGAATTACTGTATTTACCCAGTTGTGCTTGTCTGGGTTGAGCTTTGGCTCTCTGGTCCCGCCTCTCATCTGTCAATCAACTGGTGTACAGATTCCCAAGCCTGTCGATTGTGGTACAAAAAATTGCCAATGTTCTTTTTCTGGACTTCCCTGCTAAGAATTCCTGCTTACCCAGATGTCTGGCTTATCCAGTGAGGGGTCCTTTCCACATAGTCCAGATAAGTGAGCTTAGAAAGTACTCCATTATTGTAGCCCACGATTATACCGCTCCCTGTACGTAGATCTAACTGCTTCCTCATCTTAATCTAGTATTCATTTGACCATTATTATTATTTATCTATACAATTCAAACAACATTTTGTCGCCAAAATAATTGCTATAATAAAATACTTTAGTTTTAACCCTCCAGTTGCTCGGGCAATCCACAGGCACACTGGGGACGAGTTAGAATTACACTGATCACTGTGCATTCAGGTGATCTCACTGGTAGCAGGCTGCAGTCAATGAACTGTTACATTTGCACTCACTACATGTGCTCTGGCATTCAAATTCCCATCTGAGATCAAATTGCATTCTCTTTGGTACCCATGTAGTCATCATTGACAACTTACTGCATTTTAAAAAACCAACATAAGATTTAAGCTTTGAGCTTATTAAAAGCCCCCTCTTAAATTAATCATACTGCTGCTTATTATGGATTATGGACAATTATGCATAATGGCGTATTGCAGTATTACAACAAGGATCATGCAAGATGTTAGGGAGTCGTTGGAGAAGGCTTGGGTTCAGCCAAGAATAACTAGCAGGTCTACTCATGTAATCTAGTAATGCAGAGTTCTCTCACTGGTGTCTCGTGTGTGATCACCAATGGCAGGCTCTGGTTAATAGTCCGTCACCAGTTTTGTTTACCTTAGCTTACCACCAGCAGGTGGCAGCACTGCACCCAGCCCTTCCGTCAAATGCATCCGTTCCACTACACATTCTTTGTTACCCAAAGAAACTACCTCTGACCATCCTAGGAAATATGAGAGAAGTAGAATGATCTGTCCAGAAAGATTCTTTTAAAAAACTGGAAAGCATAGTTGGATAAATCTTATGTCTTTGTGCATTAATATTAATGCTTTAATATTATATATCTTTTCAGTATTCAATTCAAGAAAGAATCATGCATATCAAACCATCTTCCCTGCCCACTCTGCTGAGGCTGAGAATGTGACTCAACCAGCTGGTGAAGTAGTAGAGGAAGAGGAGGATGGTTCAATAACTACCCAGCTGACCACCCTTACATACGCTGATGGTTCTGTAGCACAGGTAAGTTGACTTGTGGTCAACTTTGAGGAGCAGGGTTTAAGACACGAGAAGAGAAAAGTATGGACCCCTATGACGTAAATTTAATACCAGTACAGGTTTTGAGAGTCCTTGTACTCTTAAGCAAATTTACTAAGTATTTATATGTTGCTTAGGATAAAGTTTTCCTTAAATCCATTTCGTTTCTCATTGTCTGGGATGGGAAACCTGTTAGGTTTATTGAGGTATACCCCTAGTTCAATGATTGACCATTCTTAGGATAAAACCCAGAACAGTCAACTAACTCTAAAAAGTAGCTTTTTACTGTTAGGAAAACAGGATCAAGAGGAAGGAAACTTGCCCAAACATCTCGCCCTATCTGGGTTGTAAAAGTACACAGGTTGGTGATTAAGTGGTACATTCTCACAAAGCCAAACACATACGTAATGTGTGATTGATAGTACCAAATTTAGAGTGCAGTGAGTGAGAGGACAGATTGCTCAGTTAACTCCAGTGACCCAGTGATTTTTGTTGAAACACTAAATTGAGTAACTAGCCTTTGTTGGGGGTCTAATCATTAGTAAATTATTTTTGTATTGCTTACCTGTATTTGGATGTACAGTATATACATAGGCTCAACTTATTGAGTGAATCTGAAATATTTAACTATCTAATTTGTCACTGGTGCACCCGTCTGGACTATTGTATCCAAGTACTGAGATCTTATCTTCAATGAAACATAACTACTTTGAAAAAGTTTGGTGCAGTGGCAAAAATCATCCAAAAACTAAGTCAATACTGAGGCCAGGAAAGGTCAAGGGTTCCAAGACTAAAAACCTTACAAGCAGGCACAACATCAAGACCATTATCAAGACCATTAAAATAGTCAGTATCTTGGAAGATATCAATCCACTTCTTTAAAAGGTCTTAATATACCTCTTACAAGGGGCAGCAGCTTGAAGCTTAACAAGCCACAGTGTAGGATAGAAAACAGATGCTGTTTCACCTGTAGGGAAATAAACCCATGGAACTGCCTACCTGCTGAGGCTGTAAATGCGAAGACAAAACTCCAGTTCCTAATTCAACTGGATAAATTCATCGGGAGTAATGGAAGAACCATTTTCCTGTACCTGTCTAGGCCACTAGAGATGGTGACTGTCTGGAAAATTCAGGGAAATATTTTTGATTATGGATGTTAATTCCAGGATCTTGGATAACAATTGTATATATATTGTAGTTTAGCAGTGAGAACATTTAAAAGTACACCTATTTCTTACTTTACTGAGATTTACACTAAACTGACAAAATTATCATTTATCATTTGATTTGCAGGTAACATTAAGTCAACTGCCAGACAACCTTGTTGATGACCTAATTTCACTGAATGCCAACTATTTTCATGGTGAACTCTCTCCTTTGATATATGAAACTGGTGCAGCTTTCTCCACACCGCTAATGAAGCAGGGAAGGTATGTGCATTTTTGGCAGTCAGTCATTTGTAAAATTAGTAGTAGTTGCCATTTTGAATGCACTAACCATGCATTTTTGAATGTCGTGTAATGTCTTGCCATTCATAATAGCATGGTTTTAAAATATTTGGCCATCTTACACAAACAATCTCATTTTATATTTCAAGGTGAGTTTGGGCATGATGAATTTAAAATTTAGAGTACAGTACAGTACTAACACTTGACGATGGCACCAAAACCAAAAATTTGTCACAGATCACTACAGATTTTCAGTGGGAGAAAAGATGCCTTATTTCTGCGATCATGTAAGCCTAGTGCATCAATGACTGTCTTAACTTTTAACGAGCAAGTAATATTTGTAGTTGCTTCATCATCGATTGTTTTCAGAACGGTGAAAACATTAACAGAGTTGCTCCTTCCTCCACTTGCGGCAGAGCGTATTCCCGAAGTTCCTGCCTTGCCTACCCACCCATTACAGCTGGATAAATCTGCTATTGTCTTTGACATAAAGATTGGAGAGGTAAGGTTATATTCCATTAATTGTACATACTCATGCTCTTAAAATAAAATAAAAGTAATTGCAGTACAGTACCAGTAATTATCTAAGATTATTTAAATAAAATTTAAGCAGTACTGTATATATATCCAAGTTTAAAAGTGAATATACATGTTGTATATAAAATGTTTAAATAAACATTGTGAGTCATATATTTCAGATAAATAAGTTTTGTTTTCTTTTCATGATATTTTAGATTATAGCACAGTTGTATAGTGGTCTATATCCTTGACTCACAAGCAAGGATCCCGGGTTCGATTCCCGGGCAGGATAAAAATGGATGGGCAAGTTTCTTTTCACCTGATGTGTCTGTTGACTTAGCAGTAAATGGTTACCTGAGAGTTAAGCAGCTGTTGTGGGCTGCATGCTAGGGAAGGTCAGTAGTTGGCCCTAGGGGGGGGGGGGACCTGGATAAGCCTAAGTACAGGCTTCCTGTCCCCAATAACGGGAATTGTGTGTACAATATTGGATTAATGACATCAACAGGGCAACTATGGGGAAGTACACAGAGGAATGATGACAGATGATCAAGGGAACAAGAAGATTGTTGCCATCAAGACACTCAAAGCCGTGGGTGAAGTTGGTGATTTTAAGAGAGAAGTTGATATCATGAAGGTAGGTGGGTAATTGTTTTGATTAGCAGATCATTCACTTCACAGTTATATGTGAATAGTTCTGTGCAGAGATTTATCAGCTCGTCTATTTCAATCTCCTGGATCACGTAGTGATTTATGGGAAATATACATTTTTAAGAGGCATTCCACAATAGTGTTGGTAATACCATTTATTGTGTGCATCTGTGGTGTTGTTGGTAGGCCCAAGTGAGTGAAATAGACATCTTTCTTTCCCATCATCTAATGCCTCTGTTCTCTTAGCAGTAAATAGGTACCCGGGAGTTAGGCAACTGTTGTGGGATTTTATCCTGGGGATGGTCAGTAGTTCGACTTTGGGGGGTGGGCAGTCTCGATACAAGCCTAAAGTATATATACTGTGTATGCATATGCTTCCTGCCCCCACCCCCCAACTACAGGAATTATTATTATATTAATAATGAAAAGTTATTGTGAAATGTGTGGTGCTGCTTGTGTATCTCTGATGTAATGATGCAGGATTTTTGTCTGTTTTAATATCTATAGTCTGTAGAATTCTCATGTTTTCTCCAGACTAATGCCTCCACTGATACCTAAAGGAAAGTGGCCATTTTCTTTCCGTTGAGCTTTTTGTGCAGGAGTGTGTGTGTGTATGTGTAAGTAACTACCTAAATGTAGTTACAGCATGAGAGATATACTTCTGGTATCTCGTCTTCCCAATAATCTGTCGTGTAATGTTTTGAAACCGCTAATGGTTATGACATCCATCATCTTCTCACCTTACTAGTTCCAGCCTTCTAAAACTCTATTTGTAAGAAAAACTTTCATATATAGTACTGTATTTTATATCTTTCTTTCCTTACCTTGGATCTTTGACCTCTTGTTCTTGAAGTTGCAGGTTTCAAAAATGCCTCCTTGTCTATTAAGTCAATTCCAGTTATTATTTTGCATGTAGTGATCATATTGCCTCTCTTTCTCCTATGTTGTAGCCTTAACATATTTACATATTTGTGGTTACATTAGTGGGGCTCTTGGTCATGGTCCCTCAATCTTCTTTATTTGATTTATCATAATTATTGTTGAAGTTTCCAGTGGTTGTGGACCACATTACTACCACCTTGCATCTCCATTCCCTCAGTTTGCTGCTCTATTAGCCAGGACTGTAAGGTTATTATTAGGAGTAAGCACTGAGCCATTATGACTATATAGCACTTGGAAGGAATAATAGTTTAGGATAGGATGGAGGGAAAGAATATGATGGCCAACCTCTTGGACGGTTGTGAATTGAATGCTAACCTGCGGTAAGCGAGATCTTCACTTTACCATCCAGTCCAAGTAGTTGGGCTATTAGTCAGGAAGTACTTTGGTGTTGTCTTTTATACATGTATATCTAGGTACTGTATGAGTGTTTAGATTTTGTATAAATTTATTACAATGCATGTGTTCTTATTTGCCATACTTGATATTGGACTTGTTGGTTCTGTGTTCATATAAATATTGCACACAGTTTCAAAGAATTTATATTTTGTGCAAGAACATGACACTGTAATTAAAACTGTTCAGAAATTTAATATATTTTAATATATATATATAAAAAAAACACACAAAAGGAATGGAGTGGTAGGAGAAAAGCACACAGAAACTGTGTTGAAGGGGGACCTAAACATTCCCTCTAATGTGTTATGTGTGGTTTCCTCCGAGGCTAAGGGTCCCCTTCTTCCAGCCAGAGGTGGTACTCTTTTCCTCTTCTTAATATATAATGTATAAATTTAATATATTTGCAGAAGCTGAAGCACAAAAACATAGTAGAACTGTGTGGTCTTGTAGAGTCTGAAGGAGAAGACATGTATATGGTCATGGAGTATCTACCCATGGGCTCACTCAAGGATTATATCAAGACACATAAAGAACACCTGAAGGACAACACGCTCCTAAAGTTTGCTATGGATATTGCCGAGGTATTTTTTTTTTAAGACATGGCTGTTAGCAATTCCTGCCTATTGGAAACTATACTTTTAAGATCTTACATTAACATTACTATTAATGTAAGATAATGACTGTATTCTCCTGAAATATAAGATGCACCTTTGCTTTAGATGCCCCACTTATTTTACAAGGATATTTTTGTGAAATTTTTATTTTTACTACGTTTCACCATACATTTATTTAGTTTTCAATATACTGTACATATTAAAATGCAGCTTCCCATTATCATGTTGTTTTGTGTGAGCTACGACATCGTGCTTAAACTTAACATTATAACAATGCATCCTATCTGTTGGAAAATAGGGTATTTGCTTGGTATGTAAATAATAATAACCTAGATTACAGCTGCTCCTTTTAGATCAAAAGACCTTTTTGCAGTTTCCGTGATTATGTTCTTAGTTACAGTTTGTTGGTATCTGAATGGTATGCTTTTTCTGTAGGGGATGGATTACCTTGAACAGTGCAGCATCATTCACCGTGACCTTGCAGCACGCAATATTCTTGTAGCAGATTATCATAATGTAAAGATCACGGATTTTGGCTTGGCCCAACAACCCAACAGCGGAAACTACTATATTCGTCAAACACAACGGGCCTTGCCTCTTCCTTGGTAGGTAATTTTAGGATTGAAATCTTCGGGCATTATTAAAACCGGGTCAGTTTCTTGTATTTTCTGAATTTTGGGGGAATTTACCAATTTAATATTTTTTAATAACCTAAGTCATATCTATTAAATTTCTTTATATGTATAACTACAGTTTTTTTTTTGTTAAATCAAAAAGATATTTTCATATTGAGGGAGCTTGAGTCTGAAGGAGAGCTCCATTGAAATTAGAATGATAATGTATAGCTGCGATGCTTTCCTTCTTTCTGGGAGCTTCTCATGAGGGGGTAGCTCATAGTAGTAGTTTTTCCAGTCGGCTCCATAACCACACAATCGCGTCACAATTTTTTAGTTAGCCCCATGTACTTGCCCTTCATATAGTTCCACTCTTCCCTTCCAAGATAATTGTCATCTACCTCTATAGTGTAGTCCACTTACTTTTTCCTTGTCCACCTGTTATGACCATGACAGTTCATTGTCTCTCTCTCCACTCAAGCCCTAGTTGGTGGGCATGGGGGGGGGGGAGGGCATGTTGACCTGCTGGCTGGTAGTTAGCAAGTTAAAATGACTGTTGCTTTCCATTATATCTGTTTATATCACAACACTTAAGTGCATTACATTTTAATCAATCCACTTCATACTACATCTTGTATAGTATACGTTTTCATTTCTACACCTGTTCCACATACCGTACTTAATAGTGTGTGTCCCCACTCTCTAAGGTGTATAACAGGTCACTGGAAACAGGAGACCTGGAAAACTGGACGACAGATAATGTAGTCCCAATGTACAAAAAGGATGACAGGCAAAAGGCACTGAAATACAGGCCAGTTTCTCTAACTTGTTTACCATGCAAGGTGATGGAGAAGATCGTGAGGAAAAGGCTCATAGAACATCTGGAGGGAAAGAGCTTTGTAACACACCACCAACATTTGTTCAGGGATGGTAAATCGTGTCTGACAGGCTTAATAGAATTCTGTGACCAAGCAACAGAAATTTGGCAAGAAAGAGAAGGGTGAGCAGACTGCATTTTCTTGGATTGTCAGAAAACCTTTGACACAGTACCCCACAAAAGGCCGTTACAAAAGTTGGAGAAACAGGCAGGAGTAAAAGGTAATGTGCTCCAACGATAAGGGAGTATCTAAGCAACAGCAAACAGCAAGTAACTGTAAGGGGGGGGGGTGTGATTTCCCCAAATTTACTATCTCTTGTATTCAAAATTATCGTAGGGCTTGTTTTCTTAATTTCCCTTCGAATCATTTGTCCCTCAGTAAAACCCTTGGTGAATCAGAAATGTTTGACATGTCTCACCTTTCACATTTTTGCATCAAGTATTGGTATTCTGAGCAATATTTAGGACATTTTGAATAACCCATGACACAGATGGTGCTACAGTCTTCCGGGCTTGGTGTCTTCGTTTGATAATTAGTACTTACTTCCTCTTCCTCCTTATGCATGTTCAAATAGCTTGTCCTGCTAATCTGTTTCTCATTCTTTATGATGAAATATCATAGTAAAATGACAGACATTTGGCTGTTTAAGATAATTCAATGCCATTTTTATTTATTTATCTAGTACAATATTCATGTCTTGGTTGTGATAGATATCTTGACTCAACAAATAACCAATTTACATGATATAGATTACTGGTTGTACTATTATTTTTAGGAGATATATTCAGTACCTTCAACAAATATTTTAATCTGAGTTGGCTTCAAAAAATAATGTGTATGCAAAGAATAAGTCACTGTAGCATAGCTAAAACAAATAACCCAATCCACACAAACATATTTCATGCATGGCTTGGGTTATTTATTTTGTATATTTTCATGATCTTTTTGAATTACAGGTATGCCCTAGAATGCATTGAGCACGGCAAATTCTCCCACAAAAGTGACGTTTGGTCTTATGGTGTTACCTGCTGGGAAGTGTTCACTCGGGGACTGGAACCAGACCTGCCTCAGAAACCAGAAAATCTGTTGCAGGTGAGGATTAAGTATATTTCTATCCACCCTCCAGAATTGATAAAACCTATAGCTACTATGGATGGAATGTACAAACCATTATGACTGTTGTACCATAAAGTTCATATTTTGTAATATTGGATCATTAATCAATGAGCGTATGTACCAAAAATTGGAACAGCAACAATAAACCTAACCTTTCATAGGCCTAATTTAGTACAGTACACATGTACTATACTAGGCTAAGGAAAATTCAGGTTTAGTTTCCTTCTCAGGCTTAAAAAAAAAATTGTACTATTAATTTTTGTGTGTGGGGCAACAGTCCATATTTTCTACTTTCACCCAAAGTAATAATAGTACCTATTATTTTTGGATGACAGGTTACTATATCCACGTTCTCCTTCACTTTTGATAGTTCTGTAGAGATAGGTTTTGTCTTCCCTTCAGTGTCTGAACACATTCTTTATATTTCAGGGCGATACCTTTCAGCAACTCCCAGTGCTGGTACTGTTGAGCCTTAAGATATGTGCCAGGTGTCCGAGACCCCGTTTGCCTACTGCCATCTGGCCACCACCTGATGACAGTTGCAATAATCATTTGCTTCAGTCCCTCATATTACCTAATTTTCTTCAAGCAATTGCTCATTTTGTTGCAATTTTTCTTGGTCTTAGGTTGATCTCTGATCCCAAAACTCCCCTTGCCTCAGAGTATCGGGTTATTGGCCAGGATTCGTCAAACATTTAAGTACAGTACTTACAAAACCTGAAACTGTATGTTAGGTGAGGGGGGGGGGGTTTAAGATCAAAGATCAACCCCAAAAGCAAGAAAGTGCAACAACATAAGCAACTGCTTTTAGAAAATTGGGTAATATCCAGCAACAATCATTTGCTTCATTCCCTCATAAGTACCCAGACTGTGATGTATCTGTCATCAGGTAGTGAGTGGCATAAGTCACACGTGGTTTCTGCTAGTGTTCCCTTATGCACCTGGACACATGCTTCTCACATGGCCCATCTTCGGCTTCACAACTCAGCTAAGTGGCACTTGGTATCTGGGACACTTATTTTGCCAAAGGCAAAATAAGTTCTTATGGCAGTAGCATGGCCCATCACAGGCTACCTTGTGGAGGTTCTGGGTCTCTGACCAGGCCTCCAGGTTGTTGGATGTGACTGCTTGCAACCTGGTTGATCAGGTATTCTTTGAAGGTGTTTATCGAGTGCTCTCTTGAACACCGTTTCAGAGAGAATGCGACACACACCTCCAAAGAATGCCTGATCAACCAGGCTGCGAATAGCTACGTCCAACAACCTGGAGGCCTGGTCGGAGACCTAGAACCTCCGCAAGGTAGCCTGTGATGGGCCATGCTACTACCATAAGAACTTAAGGCAAAATAAGTGTCCCAGATAGCCAGCGCCCCTTAGCTGAAACCCAGTGAACCAAACAGTTCCAGGTGAATAGATTCCCTACCTCAGGGTTAATAAAATATTTTAATTTATTCTTTATTTTATTGCATCTATCCATTTCCCCAAGCTTGTAATGACCGGTGTATAATGTCTAGTTTTTATTAATCTAAATGTTTTCATTTAAATATCAGTTTTTGTTAATTTGTATGTTGTGAACAAGAGAATGTATGTAAAGATGATGTCCTGCACTCTTGTGAGGTTAGTGTTACCACCCTCTGAGGGGAGGTAGACTTGGCCGAGTGTGGTGGTGTGTTGTGTCCACGCTTGAGGAGTCCATCCCAGTAGCGAGGCATTTCTCTCCCATTGGCAATGAGATCTGTGTACCATTAAGTGATTGATTTCCATATGAATGTCTCATTTCATGTCTATTTTAATACACATGAAATGGGACATATACAAGGAAGGCAATCACAAAGGTGCACATATCTCTGTGCCATGAGAGATAAACACCTTAGGTGAATGGTTCCAAGAGTGCACTCAACACAGCCAACTGTGTTGAGTGCACTCTTGGAACCATTCACCTAAGGTGTTTATCTCTCATGGCACAGAGATATGTGCACCTTTGTGATTGCTTTCCTTGTATATGTCCCATTTCATGTGTATTAAAATAGACATGAAATGAGACATTCACATGGAAATCAATCACTTAAGGGTACACAAATCTCATTGCCAATGGAAGAGAAATGCCTCGTTACTGGGATGGACTTCTCATGCGTGGATGCAACACACCACCACACTCGGCCAAGTCTACCTCCCCTCAGAGGGTGGTAACACTAACCTCACAAGAGTGCAGGACATCATCTTTACATACATTCTCTTGTTCACAACATACAAATTAACAAAAACTGATACTTAAATGAAAACATTTAGATTAATAAAAACTAGACATTATACACCAGTCATTACAAGCTCACCTCAATTTGTACAGAGCCAAATCTTGGTAGTTTCTCCCAGTATGCAAGGGTGGATCTCATGCTCCAAGGCCTTGTAGTACCAGCGTTCAGGCTTGGTAGGCTGCTTTCCTTGTGCGAATTAATATGCACAAGTATTCTTCGATTACTGCTTCTCTCCACACATACCCACGATTCAATGACCTGTAATTAAAACAATGGAAATTAGTATATTGTATTTGCCTTATTTAAAATAAATAATATATTGTTTTGCTATTATTTTAGGAATAGTTTTAGTAACTCTTTCAGATTTAGTGAACATTTAGATCAATGGAGTTACCGTGTACAAGTATATACCAATAGACGAATGTTACTTTGTGCTTACAACATCACATATAAAATCTATTAATTTATTTTAAAAAGGCACGTGATATTTATAGGTTAGCTTGGGTCATGCAGTATAGTGGTCTACGTCAACTTATACCAGAGAATCTCGGGGAAGAACAGAAATGGTTGGGTGCATTTCCTTCTGCCTAATGCCTCTGTTTACTTAGCAGTAAAAAAGGTACCTAAGCATTAGGCAACTTTTGAAGATTGCATCCTGGGAAGGTCAGTAATTGACCTAGGGAAAGGAGGGCCTCGATAAGCCTAAATAGAAATTTCTTATCTCTGAACAGAAATTGAACAAGACTCCCGTCAAATAGTTTGATAATGGCTGTTAACAACTACTCGGGCATTGAGGGTCATAAGTGTATGCAACTTTGAAACCCTTTTCATTTACATTATACCTTTTCATTAATTCTTACTCTTAACTACACAGTAATTTTAACTACAGTACTCCAAAAATAAGTGATACATTTTGCAAATACATTGTTTTGCTTCAACACCTACATTCTTTGTGTATTTGATTTGTTGCCTACAAACTGCCAGAGGTTCATGAAAGTGCCCAAGAGTTGGCAATGATTACAAACTAACCTCTATATTATATTATGAGCCAGAAGTACACAACTTTTAGCTGGACTGTGTAAAGATGTACATCTTTGTTTAGTTAAGAGACAATTTGTTATTCACCATGTGTGGCCAATACATGTCCTAGCCAGAGACAATTTTCCCACTTCCTGTTTGATTTCCATGGCCATCCTCCTGTCACTATCACATTTGGTAGCTATTATAAACAACAAATTACATAATCTACAACCATTGGAGATTGTATCTTATGAATGACAAGGCAAGAAATCAGAGTAAGGCATTTGTTTATTTAATAAGGGACAGGCATGAATAGCTTCTTTTGCAGTGGTCAGACCTCTCCAAGTTTTGTCTCCCTCACTCTACTATATCAAACTAGTTTAACATAGATTAAGTAGGAAATATAATAAATATAGGCATTTATACAATTTCCATAGTCTACATTTACCCTACATTTATCTGCTAGGCCCAAGAGCAAATGGATAACTTGTGGGTACCATGTGCATGTTTCTGAAAGATAAAAAAAAAAATCAATTTTACTAACCTAATTATGTTTAAGTTGTCACAATTGTAGAAGTGTTACAAGCTGCTGAAGTATTAGGTTCAGTGGAGTCTGAGAACTGAATTTTGTATGCCAAGTAGTCACTATCTGCAGAGTACAAACATGGAAGTATAATAACAATGTGTGATAACAGGTATCCACTGTAAAGTCTATGGATACAACATTTGTGAATATATTATAAATGCCTGTACACTGTCTTTAGTAACAGGGGAGCAATAATTAGCAAAGTTGCACAATAAGTGAGGGAGTTTTGATGGAGATGTACTAACTAGCCCATACAGATGTCCCCTGCTAGGCAATGTTTTAGGAATTTTCTTGGCCAATGAAAAACTAACCATTTTATCTCACTTTATAAATATAGGGGAAATGACTGACTAGTGATGGCCTGGATCAGCAAATAACATTAGGTATTTACCAAGGGAGTGAGTGGCAATGATGTCGGCTAGGTAATGTTTTACGTATTTTCTTAGCCAAATTAATTTATCCCTGCTAACTCACTGTAATTAAAGTGAAAGTTGTGAAATAGAATGCTTAAAAATGCAAGAATCAATAGAGAAAAATCAGTGAAGTACTGAGAAATACAGTGAAGGCTACAAGTTAAACAGGGATGGTGTTGAGAGATGCTTGAAGCTCTCTCACAGCCAGTGATCTTTTCTTCACTCATCCATACGTCCAGAGGTACCAATTGTTCCAGATAATTAGGGCTACATTGTATTGCCAACTCCATTTCTAGGCAGAAGTCCACATATCACTGTGATCTCTTCCTTGTACCTAATTTCATCTACTGCCAATCTATAATCAGAAAGCAAGGCCTCGCCTCTTTTTCCCCAGTGTGTTATACGCGTTAGTGGCTTTGCAAGAATGTACCACTTAATCACCAAAATATTTACTTTCACAACCCATTCTTATATAAAAATAAATTTACTTACAAAATTCAAGGAACTGAAATTTGCATTTCTTATTACAGCTTTTGAAGAATGGGAAGCGCTTGAACCTGAAGCCTCCATGTAATAACAACATATATTCATTGTTGATTCGTCCTTGCTGGGATCATGAACCAAGCGGACGACCAAACTTTTCGGAGCTCATTGCAGTAATCAGAGAACTTCAGGAGGGATGTTTGTGAGCAACAGCAGCTGAAACACTAGAAATGTATCACTTGAAGGCTCCTTATTGTTCACAGTATAACATGCTTATTGTCAAAGTTTAGATAGTGTTATGAGAAAAATTATCTTGTCTTAATTCTCCAGCATTAGAGATTCAGATCTTATATGTCCTTGTTACTTTTTTTTTTTAAGTTACTACCAATGATACAATATCCTTGCTTTACTATTCATGTTAACCTGAATATGAAACTTCATAAGGCATATACAGTATACCTGTTCTGCACGTTATTGGAAGCCAACCCAACTAGCAGTTGGATTAACAATGTAAGGGATTCCAAATATGTGTAACCATGTTTAGGCAATGAGCAAAGAAATATGTTGAAAATATCAGGTATGCTGATGAACATTATTTGTCACAATACAGAAATATAATTACTATTTCTTGTAATTACTGGACATTTACTGCAAAATTATCTTAAAACTGAAGCTGAATGCATTTTTATAAAAGTTTCTGGGTGATAAGAGTGGGAGGGAGCGAGCATGATGAGATACCTCGGCTCCCTCACACCATCAGTATCACTCCCATCATCTGCTTTTACTCGTCTTACAAAAATTTTCCCTCGTGGAAAATCTCTCCATTTTTATTACCACCATGGTTGCTGTTGTAAGATATTGTTAATAGAAATGGCAAATACAGTGCATGTAATGCAATAATTAATACAAAAAACTGTTGACTGCCAGCCAAAGCATCTCTGGTGTTTGAAGGCAGAGTAAGACTGACTTGGGAACATGATTTGATAATTTTGGTTCATAGTCTTTTGACGTATTGTTTGAGAAAAATACCTAGATGATAATTGTTGTATTTGTTTATATAATTTATTAACTTTTATCAATATTTGGATTAAAATTCCTTTGGGAGTGGACCATCCACAACATATGGTGCAATAATGGATTCATTTTTTACTCTTCTGTATATACAGTATATATTTTTAAAAAATATTGTTTGATAATATAATTTGTAAAATAAGGCCATATTTAAGCTTTTTAAAAGACTTTATGCACTATATAATAGTTTTTAATTGGATTAGGTCCACTGCTAACACAGCCACATCCTAGTGCTGGCTTAGGCGAGGTCCTCACTAAAACGACATGTTTGTTTGTTCCACTGAACATAAAAAACTGTTCAACTATCTAGAAATTTATTGAAGCAAAGACCAACTGTTATTTACAAAGACATTTATAAACATTGGTGTATATTTTACTAGAAATAATGAGAACTTTGTTTTAAAAAGTTTACTCTAAAACTATCTTGACAGAGTTACAAATATGTAGATACAATCATAAGTATAATTCAGTATTAAAACTCCTGTTGTTGAGTTCTGTATACAACATGACAACTACAGGTGATCTGACACCAGACAACAATGTAGATGGACTCCCTACTTCAGTTACTGAAGCATAAACATAATACTAACTCACCTGTCTTGTGCCAAGTGCAACTATTTGTGGGTCCAGACATGTTTGCAACTTCAAGGGACAAGTAGGAATAACACAGGCCGACCATGGATGTTTCTTGTCACCTCTTGGTGGATAAACATTTTAAACCTGACATCAGCCATGGAAGGGTGGTAATGCAGGAGACAAGCGAGCTCAATTTGTTCTTGGGGATCCAATCTTCAGGTATCCAGTTCTTCTAGACCCAAACTGGCCTTGAAAGGCCTCGTTATGTTTCAAATAGACTGATCTCACCAACTACAGGTCATCTGTTATATACTATAAACAGGTTGTTACTTTATAGCCAACCAGTTCCAGGTCAGAGGTCAGCTATAAACATATACAAAAATAAAATCTTTTAATTAAATAATATGACTATTTATATCCCTATTTTATCTTATGATGGAACTCTTATGTACTGGAATTGGTATTGAATTGCAGACATCCTGTGGACTCGGTAGAATCTCAGGTTGTACAAGTTATACCATGCTGTAGTCCAGGAGTAAGGTGCACGTCTAGGAGCACCCAGGTCGCTGGCTCATATATTATCCCCTCATTGTTCCAATTGATTTTCTCATCTATATTTACTATTACGCTACAACTGCCAATATTGTACTATAATTTTAAGTGGCCGAGAGCTGGGGACGTTGCTCTAATATGTACTGTAATGTAATCCAAAAGTTCAACGATTGCTATCCACAATTTACCATAGCATATAAAGACTTAATGATTAATAAATAAATATTAACGTAAAAAAGAAATAAGACGTGGGATAATGTTGTACACTATACTGATATACAGAATGCTTAAATCTAAATGATGGATTCATCAAACAACTTACAGTATCATGTATTTTAATTATTTCAAATAAAATAATGTACAATTCCTTAGTAATAACATTAATGCATGTGTTAGCAACTCTAGTTAAATGTAATCTTGTAAAGCATTAAATACACATAAAATATAGAACATCTATTTGTAACGAATATTCTGCATATTAATTTTGTTGATACTTTTTTTAACGCAAACATTTTTAATTAAACATAAAATGCATACATTTTTCCCTTAAAGCAAATATTTTGACAATTTCGGGATTTGTACTGTAATGTCTACAAGGTGTTAAGGAAATACAGTACCTACCAAGACAGACAAACCTGGTAATCTTAACACGATGGGAGGAGTGCCGGTTTAAACGTTACACATGAACAGTGACAGACTGGGAAGTATAAAGTAGATATTTTGTCACCAGCTGTCACCGCTAGTCTTGGGCAGCTGCTGTAAGAGTTGTTAAGAGTTTGTTGATGTGAGGATTGGACCAGTCATAGGTTAGATCATCAAGATGATTGTCAAAATCATTTATATCATGCTGAACCTTCCGCTGCAGAAGTTGTGATATTACTTCTAAGGATCCTGCTTCTACGTGTACACTGAAAAGAAAATTATCAATACATAAGTGTGGGTTCTGTAGCACAGTGGTCTATATCCTCTGCGCACAACCTAGGGGCCTTGGTTAAATTTCTGGGTAAAACAAACATTTGGACATGTTTACTTTCACTGGATTTACAGGTTTACCTAGCAGTAAAACAGTTACTTGGGAAGGTCAGTAGTTGGCCTAGAGGAGGGCCACAATAAGCTTAAGTAGAGATTTCCTGTCCCTGACATTGGGAATTATTACCCCATTTCCTACTTTCATAGGGAGTGGGGAGAGGCATTTAACTAGAGAAGATATAACAGAAAAGGTTCAAGATACTCTTAAATAAACCCCTCTCCCCTTAGCATCCATACCTTTTTCCCTGTTAAATGTCATAGTTATCCACTACCTAACTCGAGTAACATGCCTCAAATTATTCGTACATTTTTTTTTACATGGGTGGCACAGGCCAAGAACTCTCAGAAAACACAAATGGGTTTTTGTCAACTTTACCTTGACTTGTCTTTGCTTTTCCACTTTCCCTCTGAAGAAAGCTGTGAAACAATAACCGGAGCCGACTGAAGATTTAAACACAATCTTTTGTTGTCAATCTGAAAAATGACAACAGTAACACAGTTTACATTATATTTTAATGTAAATGCAAATTATTTTTTTAAGGCAATGGGAAAGGTGTAAAAGTTACACTACATGTAAGCATTTTTAAAACCAGTTGAAATAAAACCTATGCCATAAATCATATCTAGAATAAAGAATAAGATGACTGGGCATACTCCTTTCACCTGATGCCTCTGTTCACCTAGCATTAAATGGGTACCCCCGAGTTAGTCAACTGTGGTGGGTTGCATTCTGGGTTAGAGAAGGTCAGTACTGTACCTGGCCTAGAGGACACCTTGATAAACCTAAGTACAGTACAGGTTTCCTATCACTGACAAAATGGAAATTGAAAACCAAACACGAGACTTATTGGGATCCTATAGTGGTCCAAGGTGATTGTTTGGGAGTATCCAGAGCATTGGTTCGAATCCTCTTCATGGCTCCTATCAATTTCCTCACTATTAGGATCATCCAGAAGAATATCAAGTTGTGTAAAAGGTTGGGTCAGACAAGCTATTTTGTTGCAACACTGCTCAAAATAACTAATGATGAAAGCTTAACTCATGCACTGCTCACCCCAATTTCCATGACAACCACTGTGTGCGCAAGGAAAAAAATATAATTTTTCTTATACTTTTAATATTGTTAAAATACATTCCCTGATCACAAGAAAAAAGAAAATTATGTTACATACTTTGGCTAAAATTTACTGAAGTGGTCTACACTGCCAAATTTCAATATGAATCTTCTTTTTATCATCATACACATGATATAAGAGTCTCTAGTTGACTAAAAGTGTTTTATTTTTGTTTTTACACAGGTGGGTAAAGAAACTGATGCTAACTGACTGCTATTAGCAGGCTGAGAGCTTTCCCTTCTCATAGCTCATGGTAAGCCTTCCTCAGTAGTTCTCCCTGGAACACGATTTGCCAATCGGTTATCAACTACGATTCCATGCACCACTACAACAAATCAATTACTGCTGCGTGAACAGAGGCAAATAGTTAAGGGCCAACACATTGTCAGCCCTCCCTGGCTAGGATATGAATCCAAACAAAACTGCACACAAAGAATGGGTGGGGTGAGTGTGTTATCACCGCACTACCAAGATGATGCACAGAAACCTCTTGAAAACATGAAACTGAATACATAAACAAGACAAAACCATCAGGTATCTCATAACATTAATTCCTACTTATTATTGACATTTTAACCATGGTTCTAGGGTCTTATTCCTTGACTATGTTAATACAGTGTGCTCTTTGTTTACATAATACACTCACCATTATCAGACATGCATCATTATTGTTTTCTGCAATTTTTTCTGCTATTTTCAAGGCAACAAAATCTGGCCTGAAAGAAAAAGAAAATATATTAATTCAAAATTAAAAAAAGAAGTAATGTAAAAGATTATATTGTACTGTACTGTATAATGCACATTTGATTTTTCTAAATCGACGGGGACTAAACTTGGTTGATAAATAAAACATTATGTAATAAATACCCGGTAATTACTTAGCCAACTATATAATCACTTGTCTAATGTTTTGTCTATTACACAAATAAAATATTTTTATTATTACTGAGAAATCACTGAAGCAGAGTGGGGATTGAACCAGCATCTTGGTGAATACCAGATGCATGTCATACCACTGAGCCACGACACGCTCAAACGTTATTCAAATTGGGACACTACTGTGTCCTCTAAGGATTCTGTTGGCCCCTACCTGTTGCCACAAATTTTTTTTTTTTGTTGGAATAGTCTTTATGCACTTTTAGAGAAGGTGTGGAATATAGGGCCAACAGAATCCTTAGAGGACACAGTATTGTCCCAAGTTGAATAGCGTTTTAGCATATTGTGGCTGAGGGGCGTGGCGTACGTCTGGCATTGACCAAGATGCTTGCTCAATCCCCAATCTGCTCCTGTGATTTTCTTATTGATGTATCACACTATTGATTTCCTTGTGTATTACATAATAATAATAATAAATTATTTTTCATCTAAGGGTCATGGAGTAGCTTTTACTCTTTGGCATCTTTTGAGTAATGTTTTTTCTTAGTGCCAATGACATGCATTTGCAGATATGATATAATGAAAGCAATAAAACACAAATTTTGTATTTGTGTGTGTACATCTGTGTGTACATGCTCATCTAGTTACATTTGCATGTGCACATATGTCTACCTATTTTTGACTCTGATTGTAACGTCCTTTCTCCTTTACATAGTATTCAATAACATAAAAAATAAATTTATTTTAACACACTGCAAAATACTCATTTTAACTACTAAATCTCATGTGAAACTCAAAAAATAATAAATTTAAAGTGATCTGACAAGTTTGTAAGCCAACTTACTTTTAATATAACAAGTTCATTAGTTATACAACTTAGATCAAAATTTTCCAGTGACTGAAATTAGTCTTTTACCCTCATAAAATACATAAAAAGTTTTAAGAAGATACTATGCACAAATACCATATTTGCAACTACATACACAGAGAATAATAGACTAAGTTATTTCCTCTTTTTACCGTCTGTAGATGCTATGTTATTGTTAAAAGTCAAATATTGTATTTTTTTTAACTAAATGACAATTATTTCTTAATTAAAAGTATTAAAATTTTTACTTACACATTATCTCTGATGTGTTCATTTGCTTGATAGTAACCCGCTATTACCAAACCTTCCGATTTGTAACGTTGTTCAATCTGAAAGAAAATCAAAGGTAGAAGTATATGCTGTAAAAAGTATTATCAGTTGTTATCCTAGGATAAATATTGAAAACAATAGATAAAAGAATTGAATAATGAAAGAATAGTTCTCCAATGATATAGGTGCACTTCTAACTCTGGATTATTATTATTATCCCTGATCTGATCTGGATTTACATCTCTGAAATTTGCCATTTTTTGTTATTTATAAGCAAATTCTTCACATTTTTCTTGTATGAAATGATACAATAAATGTTCATGCATATTTACACACATATAATATATAAATAATGGCTTAATGTGCCTATGAATAATTATTTTGCATGAAAAACATGTGAAAAATTTATCCAATTGTAAAAAGCCAGTCTTGACAACTCAGAGGCTGCAAAATGCACTTTTAACACTGTCATCCTGACTGTTAAACCTCTGTAGTCACCCTGAACTCATCTTGAAGTCTTCAGTGCCCATGATTAATGCATTCTCACGAATATAAGCAAACTGCTCACCTCAGGGTACTATGTGGCATAAATCACTGGTAAGCAGCACCAGCCTCTATAGCCTCATTCATGGAAGGTTTCAATGCCTTGATGTCACTTTTCTTTGTCACTGCTCTCCACAAACTATATGATCTGCTTCCTTTGCATTTGTTTATGTCAGAAACATCACTAATACCAATGCTACACTCCTCTTCCAGCTACTTTCCTCCTAAGATATGATAGCATTTTTCTGATAACTGCCTTATTATCCACAGCAAGACACTTTCCCTTACCCTTATCTGATTTATAATATTATGCAGTAATTCATTGTGTCGAGGGACAGGAAACCAGAGTGTATACATACACGTTTGGCTATTATTGCAATGATCTTTACTACTAAGGCTCCAATATGCCACTAACCACACAAAAAACACATATTGGTGTGTGTTGGCATGGTGAGAGATATTGTTCTGGTAGGCAGTCCATGTCATCATGTACTGTAGTTGTCTGCTCGACAGACCTGCAGTACTGTATACGAGTGCTTGTGTATTCGGTACACGCATGGGAGCATGATTTATAACAATACAGGTGGTAGATATATAATTTAAGGTTTGATAAGAATTAGGCATCAACTGCACTTCTCACAAGAAAACACTTTTCACAAACAATAAATTAATGTTTAGATTCATTTATTGAGTGTGAAAAGTGCCTAACAAAATAAAATTCAAACCTCCAACCAGGGATTTGTCGAATCGAGAATCGTTGAATCGAGGTTCCGCTGTATACAGTTTTGTAAATTAGGAAAGAAGCTTTGTCAAACTGCATTGTGTACTATTTGACCAACTCCTATATAAAGTTACCTGAGTAAGTGCTACTTCTAGCATAGGTGCCAAGCTGAGCTGCAAGTGGAAGAGAGGCACTGTATCAACCAAGTAGACAGTATTTGATGTGCTGTCCCCGCCTCTTGCATGGGCCAGTACCACGCCACTCACTGCTGACTGTGGGTAACGGGCTGCATGCAAAAGCATCTTGGCCAGTGTGGGGCATGCTAAGCTGATATCACCTGACATTCTACACGTTTTAACCTGGAAAGTACAACAATTTAGTTTTCAATTTTCAGTGCATGCTATACTGGTAGTATCATACTGAAAACTTAATAGTTGCAAGAATCAGATATAAAATTAAAAAATACACTTCCTTTTATCAAAACATAGGGCAATGAAAAATTAGTTAATTTCATACTGCAAAGTAAGTTCTTTTGATAACAAGTACTGTACCTTACTTTTATATTATTCATTATTCACAGTTCACTAATGATATTTGTTTGGAATGTCCTTTGTTAGAACAAACACGTAATGTATCATGACAAAGTTTAGAAATAATTTCTCTATGTACAGTAGTTTCAATATGTAAACTAGGTTCTAAACTTCAATATTATTATTTCTATAAGCTACTTGCAATTTGTTATCCGATAAACAACAAAGTACTGCTCTTAAAAATCCTTTGCACAATTCTTCAATTCAAAATAATTTCCTCTAGATAAAAACAAGCAATGCAATGTTTTCAGAAATTATTATGTAGTACTGTATATGCATTGAAAACATTAGAACACTGTACTTTCAGTGATTTCCTCAGACTTTTACAATTCAAGCAAACACTCACAGCTTTAGTTGCAAGATTGGCTTATTTAAACACCCTCAAAACATGTAAATAATTAAATTTCATACAAATCACTGGTATACTAAGCAAAGTGTAGTAGTTCTAATTGGATCTGACACAGGCCTAAGATAATCTAGGTACAAACAAAGCAGGGATATGCTTGGGCAAGAGACATGTACTGAACAGGTCTCAATAAGGCTAAGTCAGGTCAATGTGAGTTCTGCAAACATCCAAAAGTTACTTATTAAAATTTAAATTAAAAGACCAGAAAATTGAAATAAATGTTTATGGAGGTGCTATTGTACAGTTTATGAGTTACTAGGCATGACATTAGTCAATAACATTAATATATGACACAAACTAGGAGATTTTAATGAGGTACAAACACTGTACCCTAAAGAACAGTGCAATTGTGTGTTAAGGCAAACATTTCTCCATATACAATAGTAGCATTATGATGAAGCAGTTGGGTGCACCATTCATAACTGAATACACCCATCCAACCTTCATTCTGTCTTGTATCCAAACAAAACTATCACCAGATAGTTGAAACAAATAGCCTCAAGGCACCAAGAAGGTTAACAGGATATCATCAGGCTCTCTGCATCATCTGTGGAAAATAAATGTCCATGCATATCTTGGGCCACACAAGATATACTTTCAGAGAATTACCATTTTCTGCTCTCGATTGTTAGCCTTAGCATAAAACCAATTTTACATTATTTGCTAAAAATCTAAGAATTACAACAAACTTCTGCATTTTCATGACTAGTTTTCAAACTTCTTCACTGCCATGAATAGCTACACTAATCAAATACAGCGAATACTTATATTATACTTAAAATACACTCACGAAATGCAGATCTCTCCAACTCTTCATCGGTGGATTTTTCATTTATGTCTTCCCCATTTAGACAAAATAGTTTAACCCCTGCACTACACACCTGTTTTTGGCTAAAATTTCATGGTGCAGTTGTTAAGGACATACTTTTGTTTTTATAAATGTTTTATAAATGTTGACATGTTAATGTCAACATGTTTCCAAATTCAATAATTTTCATTTCAAATCACAAAAAGCAATGAAAACAGTTAAAAACCTTAAGATATGGCCTAATTAAACAAAAATCACAACCCCCAGAGAGCCTTAATGTTTTGTGCAGTGCAGTGGTTAAATAATTGCATTAGAAGAGGTAGAAAATTACTACATTGTATATGAAAAGAATTAAAATTATATGCAACAAAAAGCATTATCCTTGTTTTCTGGTATGGCTTCCAGTATCCAGCCACTCATGTGTTCAAATCATATTTAAAAATACAGAAGTACTGTATTCAAATACAAATATACCATAGTGTTTGTATTTGAACACTATCATATGTATAGCAAGGAAGCTCTCTTTAAAAATTACGCCAGCATTTAGCCTGTGGATGCACTATTTCCTAACATATTAACAAAAATAACGAGCAACACCAGAAAATCGATGATTTGGGTGTTGTTGCCCAGCCGACAGTCACATCGCCTATTTGTAAAGTAATTTCCCTAGTAAACATTTATATTATTTACCAGAATTTATGTGAGAGCCAATACTGCACTAGTGGCCTCAAGGGGAGAAAAAATGCTGGTGAATTGTTAAAAGTTCCCCTTATTGATTCCGAGGATTTTCCCCTATTAATCCCGAGGATTTTTCTATTATAATCTACATTAGAAAACCAGTCTGAGATTATTGCATGGCATTCCAATAACATCACAACAGTATTGCATATTCAAACTCCACATGGGCAGGCACTGGCATTGCAAATTGGCATCAGCCACCCTAATGTTCAACTGGTTAAGATACTGTACTGTGTTTTGACTGAAACCTGCACTTAGATTCCCAAGCACCTGTGTCTGGCCAGATAATTTAATAACTATAATGCACCTAATTAGATGACTATCATATGTCACTACAGTTTAAGGAGTGTACATTCCTAAAACTATTATAACTACCTGAAAAAAATTAATATCAAGTTATTCTGTAAAATAATACAAAATACAGGTGGTATAAGTGTGTGACGAACATGTGTCCTCTCCGAGGTCTGAACCCTACACCGACAAAACACAGGGAAGAGCTGCATAAGGGAATTATTAGGAGAAAGTACTAATTTAGCATGACTATATAGCACTTAGAAGGAATACGAAGCTGGAGTATGAGGACAGAGTGATGGAACAGTGCCCAATCTCTCGGACAATCGGGGATCATGAACAGACCTTGCTGGAAGCAAGACCATTGTTCAATCAATCAGTCTAGACAGGTAGGCACAGAAAACAATGTAAAACACAAGAAAATTTACCTAAAGCTTTACAACATACCAAATTAACCTAACTTTAAGACGCAAGAGAAATACATTTGTTCCCTCATTAAGGAATACAAGTTTATTTTCTGGACAAACTTTAAGCATTTCACAGAAATTTTCGAAACACAATGATGATAAAAATATGTTTCTTCTGACCGGAAGAATGCTGGAAGAGGCCGGGTGGCTGACACAGTCCACTACAACTCTTCAAAACTCCCATCACAACTCCGTGACTAAATTCATTATACCAACAACCCGTTAAGTATTAAACCTTCAAGTTGTCTATCAATAGACCATAGTTTAGTCAGGAAACGAGGCCCAAATAGCGTGACTTACTGAGGCCAGCGGACGTCAACACAACACAGCTGGAGCGGCTACACCTCCCTCATACTTCTCAGGAATAATGACAGTCCTACACAACCAATAATATAACTTTTACTCACCAAAACTACTATATATATATATTTCCATATAATTAAAATAATGTGTAAATCCCTTTTAAGTTTATGCTGGTACTTACATGCATTTAGTATTCAGTTATATTAAATAAATGTATTTAACATTTGCGATTCGACACAACGCTTCAAACTTATACAATCTTTGTATGTTATTCAAAACAATTATCAGAACATTTATATATAATATAATTGAACATAAGCGCATACGCATTTTGTTTGGTTAAGTATGAATTTATTAAAGGGAATTACCTACCTTGGAGCATATACACTCTAGAGGGAGCAAGGATTGGTCGTTTTGGACACGAAACATTTCGACGAAGCTCGTTTTCGTATTAAACGCATTTTCGTATAAATCTCGTTTTCTTATAAAACTCGTTTATAAAAGCTCGTTTTCTGTTTGTTTAAACAGTGTATATTGCAATGCTAGGATGTATTAGCTTAGGTTCGGCTGTATTTCGCTCTCTTGGTTTTCGCTTGGTTGGGTTAGGTTAGGTTGGGTTGGGTTAGGTTAGGTTGGGTTGGGTTAGGTTTCGTTAGGTTGAGCTAGGTTAAGTTAGGTACGTTTCAAAATTCCGTTGCGGAATCGTCTTGTATACAATGTGCCTTGTATCCGTATAAACTGGCACAATGAATTATTAATTATTATAATCTCACTATATACATCCTGGTATTACTGTATTCTCAAGGTCATGTTGCATCATACTACAGGAGGCATTTACCACGTTCTCAAATACTTAAGTCTAATGATACATGAGTATATTTTGGTATACCTGTAGCCATCAAGGATTTACACAATTTACGAAACCAGTACATCTTTCTTTAATCATATCGGTATATACATCAATAAAATTACGAGCTTGTACACTTCACAACCCAGAGAGAGAGAGAGAGAGAGAGAGAGAGAGAGAGAGAGAGAGAGAGAGAGAGAGAGAGAGAGAGAGAGAGAGAGAGAGAGAGAGAGAGAGAGAGAGAGAGAGAGAGAGACAGAGAGAGAGAGAGACAAAGAGAGAGAGACAAAGAGAGAGAGACAAAGAGAGAGAGACAAAGAGAGAGAGACAAAGAGAGAGAGACAAAGAGAGAGAGACAAAGAGAGAGAGCCAAAGAGAGCAAGCGAGAGAGAGCCAAAGAGAGCGAGCGAGAGAGAGCACACTATCTGCCAACTTTCATCATAGCGAGGCTCAGAAGTATTGGTTGGTGGGGTGAGGTATAGGGGCCCCCTTCGTTGTGAGGGATACAATGGCAGGCGGGTCATGTATACTGAGACGTCAACCCCATCAATCTTCATGGGATGTTCACACCACCTCCTGCATATAATGACGGACGCTTCCCTCTTCCCTACCTCCCCCACACTCATTCATATATCAACAAACACACAACAAAACTTCAACGCTATTTTATGTTGAACATTGGTAATGTTGTAACGTTCTTTACTGGGGGGACTTGTATAAACCTGAGGGGTACTTCCTTTTATATATATATATATATATATATATATATATATATATATATATATATATATATATATATATATATATATTATATATATAATATACTGAAATGGAATTTTTTAAACTAATTTTACGAAGGGGGGCTTTTAAAACCCATTTTGTGAAGTATGTGCTCCTGTACCAGAGCGAACTTCAGAACTAGGGGTATTTGCCATGCGAGTTTTTAAAATAATTTTCACTTTTGGCTAAATTTCAATCCCAAAGAAATTAGTTAAGCCTACGGTCCACTCATCAATGAAAACAGATCCTAAAATAGTTTTATGCTGTGGGTCTCCGGCCATTAACCTCATGAATATTTATGTTGAATAATTAAATATTAATTTCTCATGAAGCTGTGTGACGAAAATTGCTTTAAAAAAAAATTAGGTTCTGTCTAGGACAATTTTCGCAATATATATTTGGATTGGTCAGAGGCTGCCTCTGTCTTCTTGACGGGGCCGTGTTTTCTATCCGGTGATTGACGAGTAGATTCCATTTACCGTCAAGTTGACGGTATGAATGCTGATATCCAGTAGAGAGAAGTGGACGTCCCCGTATCAAGCAGACAGTAGTATATTCTACCTATTAAACGGACGGTAGTGGACGTTTCCCTGTCAAGCGGACAGTTGTGAAAGCTTCACTGTCCAGCAGACAATAATGAACACCTCCCTGTCAAGCAGACAGAAGCAGACTCTCGTGCAATTGCTTGCACCTGACGGTTGGGGGCCGCTGCACGCGACGAGTAGTGGTAGAGTAGTGGCCCGGGGTAGAGTAGTGAGGTACCCGTCAAAAGGCGCCACTTCTCCCTACAATCAACAAGCCACTAGGCTGCGTCTGCTCTCCAACCACAAGAGAGCGTAAAAAAAAAACAATTACTACTCTTTATTTAATTTACTTTGTAAATAGCCAACTCGTCTTTTTAATGAATACGTTTTATTATTATACGTTACGGTCACATTACAAAGTACTAAGAAAATTAGTGGCTCACAAATATCAACGTTTTTCTATGCGTCAGTTGGTTAGGTTAGGTGGGTGGCTTGGGTTTCTATTTTGTTGATACAAAATTTGTATTTTGTTGATACAAAATTTGTATTTTGTTGATACAAAAATTGCATTTTGTTGATACAAAATTTGTTATTTTGTTGATACAAAATGCGTTTTTGCAACAAACGTATTTTGTATCAACACAAGTCTTTGAAAAAACAATAAACTATCGTGCTCAAAGCTTAAAATTGTTTAACATTAGTAAACATTTATAGACAAATTAAAATCGAGCTGAGGCATAAAGCGAGCTCCTGGGTAATTAGTGCCCAAATAAAACAGACCGAGCAGAAAACTCGGATAATATTAAAATGCAATTAGACAGGTGAACCGGAACTCATCCAAGGGGAGAAGGAGCCTTCACGGCCGGCTTCTAGGAACCGGTTCCTCTTGAGTTCACAGACTGGCCTGCTAGGACTCTTGGGTCCTGGGTCGAGAAGGCTCAAACTTTTCTCAAAATATAGCTCCTCGCATCTGGAAATCTATATATAATTTTGTGTGTATGTATATATATATATATATATATATATATATATATATATATATATATATATATATATATATATATATATATATATATATATATATATATATATATATATATATATATGCAAGGCGGACAGTCCCCCTTTCATATCTCACACTATATTTAACATTTCTACAACTACGCAAACACCAGAAAACTTATTCAGTCACAGAAAACATACATCAAAACGTATCCAGCCATACAAACACACCACAAAACCCACCCCAGGCACACAAACACACCACAAACCCCACCCCAGGCACACAAACACACCACAAAACCCACCCCAGGCACACAAACACAGCACAAACCCCACAAACACACGACAAAACCTATCTAGCCACACAAACACACCACAAAACACACCCCAGACACACAAACACACCACAAAACCCATCCCAGACACACAAACACACCACAAAACCCACCCCAGGCACACAAACACACCACAAAACCCACCCCAGACACACAAACACACCACACCAAGCAGTGCAGGGAGGCGCAGCACCCTCCCGGGTTCAGTAGAGAGAAAACATATTCGGCAATTATTGGATTCACTTGCCAGCCCCATACATCGCTCGCTGTATTCCATTGTCAATAAGAAAACTGACAATGGGCGAACGAGGTAATAATAGAGGTTAATATCGCGGAATATTATACGCTGGTGACCATTAAATTCACCCCCACTCCTGAGAGGAGCTGTACGTCCTCCTTTTGTGGGGCACCACAGGACATTTGAGGAAGAAAATAGCCTAGTAATTCCTATTTTCTTTATGGGAAATATGCAGCAAATGGCGCATAAGACGAGATTAGAAAATGAAGTTTTAAGTTAGTGGAAATGTTAATTTTTTCTGTAAATGTCTCCCAGGATTATTTTTACGTTTAAACTGTGTTTTTTTTTTTTAAATATCCCGCAGGCTGGAGCTGTTAGCTCTTGGACTCCGCCTTTCTATTGCTGTTGTCTAATGTGCTGTCACTCGACCTATTTTCTATATCATAGATACTATATATACTCTGTTTCTCACACACCCGCTGGGTGCAACCTGTTAGCTGTCTTAACTCCTAGGGTAACCTATTTACTGCTAGGGTGAACAGAGCCATCAGGTGAGAGAAACTGTCTATTTGAGTTTGTATATATATTTATGCATTTATTGAGAAGGGTTACATTAGGTTCGTATATCTTAGTATCTATTGGGGAAAGATATATTAATTTAGTATGTGGTAAGATTCAATACAAAAAAAGGTCAGCATGTATTAGTACTGTATATGTAGCGATATACATATATGTACCGAGAGGTATACCTCGTTATGAAGGATATAAGTATCGAGAAGTACACCACTTGGTATATATATATATCCTTGACAAGGAGGTATACCTCCTGGGTACATATATCCTTGATAACGAGGTATACCTCCTAGGTATACATATATCCTTGCCAACAAGGTATATCTCCTAGGTATACATATATCCTTGACAACGAGGTATACCTCCTAGTTATACATATATCCTTGACACCGAGGTATATCCTTGACAACAAGGTATACTTCCTGGGGACATATATCCTTGACAACAAGGTATACTTCCTGGGGACATATATCCTTGACAACAAGGTATACCTTCTGAGTATACATATATCCCTGCAGCTGACTAAGTCACGAAACCTTGCGCTATAAACAAAAAGAGATCGATACCTTCCCTCACGCGAGGACACTCATCCAATACTCCTCCACGAAAGCCTATCATTTAATATTCGTTTCAGGTTTCGTCTGGTGTATTTGAAACCGGTTCGTAATTATTTTAGTTACAGCTTTCTGAGGTCGTTAAATTGGGTATAGTGTATATATATACTGTAACTCTCATACAG